ACATAGTAACCAGAAGCAATATGAGGACGTCATTACTGACATTCCAGCAACAGTATTATGTAAATTATCCTACTATTAATAATCATACAGACACAGTCATTCAATTATTAATAATTATTCTACAAGTCATGCAGCACAAAAGTTGACTACAGATTAGCAGCTATTAGTCTAGGAGGAGGAGGAGGTAGTCACGCAGAGAGAAACTGCGTGGCTGTATCTCTCTCCTCTACCAGCTCCTTTGCGCTTATATCCATCTTCTCTCTGGCAAAATCACTAACTGATAGGCCATCAACGACTTGCCAGGAGCGATCAGGATTGATACGAACTGGTACGGAATACACTATACCCTCAGGAATACCGTAATGAGTTCCATCGGACCACACTCCCATTGATGTCCATTCACCCTGTAACATAAGAAACTAGTATTAAGACTAATGTATGTGCATGTACATGTACCTCTTTAGTACCAAACCACCAGTCAGACATGTGATCACAGATCGCTTTGGCAGCAGACATGGCAGAGGAAAGCTTACGGGCTTTGATGACAGCGGCACCACGCTGCTGTACAGTCTGGAGAGATTAAAGAGAGAGAGAGAGAGAGGAAGGAGGTAGAGATGAAAGAGAGAGAAGGAGGAAGGAGGGATGGAGGACATTAAAACAGGTCGCCTAATTCTAGTCACAATACTTTAATGAAGTCTCCTTTTATCCAAGAGTCGTCTTTAACTGCTTCATAAGCACCAATAGAGCCCGAGGCAGTCTGTACATTAGCATGGGCTACATCAGGATACTGAGTGGAGGAGTGGTTACCCCAAATGATGACATTACGGACGGCATCGTTAGACACGCCTACTTTAGCTGCAATCTAAAAAGAATAGGAAGAGGAGGAGAGGAGACGGAGATTAATAAACTAAGTGGATATAAGTGGTCTCTCTCTAACCTGAGCTTGAGCTCTGTTCTGGTCCAATCGGGTGAGGCAAGAAAAGTTTTCTTTGGGCAAAGAGGAAGCGGATTTTATAGCCAAGAGACAATTAGTGTTAGCTGGATTACCAACAACCAGGACCTAGTTTAAATAATAATAAAAATAATTGCAGTTCAACATTTTGTTTATTATTATAATTAATTTTTTTCTTAAAGTAACTATGACATTTGTAGTACATGGTCTTCAACCATAATTTAATTCACACCTATCACTAATATAATCTAATTAGCTGAAAATGGGTTGACACACATAATGAGAACATATAAAAACAAAACAGGCAGTCATTCATCACAATAATATACCTTTACTGTCTTCTTAGCAAACTGATCCAGAGCCTTTCCTTGTGTCTCAAAAATTTTAGCGTTTGCCTTCAAGAGATCACTCCTTTCCATTCCTTCCCTCCGTGGCATTGAGCCAACCAATATGGCCACATCAATATCCTTGAAAGCTTCCTCTGGCTTATCAGTTGCAACAACATCTGATAAAGAATGATACACATTATTATTATTATTAAAAAGGAGAGCTGGGCGTGGGACATTATGCATGCAATCTCAGCCCCTCCCACGATCCAAAGCAGCTAGTGGCCGCATTACATGTACCTTTCAAAAGGTTAAGTGCACAATCTTGTAGCTCCATGACAACTCCTTTCAGACTCTCCATCATCGGGGTTATGTCCAAAAGAGTTAACTCTAACGTCTGCGAGAGAGGGAGGAAGAGAAAGTGAAGAATGACATATACATGATAAGGCAGTTGCTAATATGTTAATCACTTGTTCGGGTCCAAAGACACTTCCACTAGCAATAGAGTAAAGAAGAGCATACCCAATCTGTCCAGCTGCACCAGTCACGCACACACGAATAGCCTGCAGTGGGAGGAAAGGAAAGGTCAAACTAGATCAGCCCATGCACCAGGTGAAGGGGCAGGAGGCCAGTCCTCCACCAATGCTATATTCAAAACTTACCATGGCTGTATTTCTTTGAGATGAAAAAGAGAAAGGAGACAAAAGAACTTTTGTTTCGACTTGGAGAAGGGCTCTTGAATTTCTTTAGGAGCTGGAACAACACGTGAGGTTTGATCAGGCTACAAGAACCACGCCTTTTAGGAGACCAGTCTAATGATAATAGTAAACCATAGATTATTATTATTCATGAAGGTGCATGAATCATCTTAAGGTCCTTGAGGAGTATTTGTTGAAAGCAAAAGAAGAAGAGAAGAGCAAAGGAGAGGGTCCTCCTCACCCAGCCATCTCTGGATTCTGGTATGGTAAATTCCTCCAGAAGGTTTTTGCAGAAGGAGGCGTGGCTAAAATGGAGGGTATCGGAACACTCAATCTGCTTGGAGTTCCGATAAATGTACATGTACAAGACGGGAAGGCTCAGCTTGCAAAGTGCCACACCTCCTTATCTCCTAATGTGTATCGGCTTATTATGCAATCCTTGCCCATCAAATGTTGTCATGACGATGATTACCTTGACGACCATCTCACACTTGATTGGTCGTTTGTAAAACGTTTTGATTTATCTGCTGGTAATGAAAACTAGTGCTCATAATAAAGTTTAATTTATCGTCTTTTTTCATCTAGATTATTCTTGTTTGGTTAGTCAGTTAGGTGTTCTTGCTGCTGGTGTCCATCAAAAATGTTTTAAAACAAATAAAGAATTACTTTTAGAAACGTGGAAACCTTTTTTAAATTGGACACACCACCCAGAAGTACAATTATCAGCAATCAGTAATGATTGGTTATTTTTAGAAATTATAGATATTTATAGATTGCTTTAATCTGCTATTCTCTGGTTGTAATGATGGCCCCCATCTCTCTCTTATAGTCATTGCAGCTGCCATTGAGAGATCATTAGGAGACGTAAGCGATTGGGGTAGCCCCTATTCATTAAGCAGTATATATAATAATTTATTATTAGGTGTATCTTCAGGTATCAAATGGTACGTCTTGTTAATTAACTATTGATTAATAACTATCAATTAACCAGCATCTAACTGCCCTCGTCACATGAAGGACTTGTTAGCGACTAAAGAGCTGAGTCAGCTATTAGGAGCTGAGCCAGTGAGCCGATATGCACCCACTCATTTAATTAGTTTATTAACTGCAGGTAGTTTGTTTGAAGTGTTTGATTGGGCCCCCTGGGGGTCTGAATTTGAGAAATGTAGTATGGCATGGTTTTGCTGCACAGGATGAAATACCCATTGAGTAATAATTATAATGACCATCGATATTATGACTCCTCTTTTTTATAGATATGTTACTCTTCTCCTGGTTCTGGTTGTCAGTTTAGGTAAAATCATTCAAAACAAGTTAGATGCTTCTTCTCTCATTCATCGTCCTTTTGTTTCATTTCAAAATCACGAGACAATTATCAATAATGTACTACCTACAGGTTAGTTATATTATTATTATTGTTGTTGTTGTTGTTGTTATTTTTGTTATTTTAGAATATTCATCATCTGATATAGAGGAGGTTGTTAGTATATTTGAGGATTCTTATTTCATATTACCATCAATCCTCCCAATATTAAAATCAGCTGTCAACTTGTACAAGAATAGAAGGCATGACTTGCAATACCTATTATGTTATCTCCCTCAGTCCCTCCCTCCCTCTCTCCCCCCTCTCCCCCCCTCTCTCTCCCCCCTCTCTCTCCCCCCTCTCTCTCCCCCTCTCTTCCCCCCTCTCTCCCTAGGTATGGTCATTGTCTTTGTCTTCTCTTGCCAGCTCTTGAGCATAGTTTGAGGCGTCTCTATGCTTGCTGTAATGGCTGCCATGAGAGAATATTAACTGCTGAAGTACAAAGATAATCAATCACACTCAATCTTTACTTTCCTCTTTTCTAGTCAGCTACACTTTACACTACATTTGATGAGGTTGGTACATGCATTTATGGTTATAATCAACATTATAATGAAAGTAGATATTATCTCCTGTATTGAATGATGGCATCACTCCTAATGCATTGGCAGATGAGATTGGGATCAGTAATATGGTAAGTAATAATAATAATAATAATAATAATAATAATAATAATAATAAAATTATTTGTGTTTTTCTAGGAAATGCTGATGGATATTCTCATGTATCCTGAAGGTCCAAAACTTAGAGACAGGATCAGTCATGGAGAGGCAAGTCTTCTCTTGCTTCTCTCCTCATCTTTTTCTTTTCTTTTTAGGTTGATCTGTTTACTATGAGTCATGCATTAGCTGGGCATGTTTTGAGCATGTGTCTTTCATGCTCTCTCCTTTATTGTGTTAATTATCATATAAAGAAAGTTAGTTTAGTATTAGTAATGGGATTCCCACAGGATTTGTATGGTCACATATGTGCTGTGCAGCTTGATTAGCAGCTAGTCCATGTCAAAATTTGTTTTTTGATGCATATTTCTGTAGAAAGTTGGAGTAGATTTCGATTTATGAATTTTTAAAGTTATATACTCCAAAATTGGGCGAAAGTACCTGTTTTTGCCAAAAAAGGCTGGGAGAAAATTTTTCATTTTTATAATTTTTTCTAATACATATGCATGTTTTTATGTTGTGTAGAAAGTTTGAGTGGATGCTGATCAAAATTGGATTTTTTATGAATTTTTAAAGTTGCTCCAAAATCAGGCGAAAGTACAGGCTCATTAGCCAAATTTCACCAAAAATGACTAGGAAAGAATTCTTCATTTTTATAATTTTTTCTGATACATATACATGTTCTTATGTTACGTAGAAAGTTTAAGCTGATTCTGATCAAAATTGGATTTTTTATGAATTTTTAAAGTTGCTCCAAAATCAGGCAAAAGTCCCTGTACTATAGTACAGGCTCATTAGCCAAATTTCACCAAAAATGACTAGGAGAGAATTCTTCATTTTTATACTTTTTTCTGATACATATACATGTTCTTATGTTGCGTAGAAAGTTTAAGCTGATTCCAATCAAAATTAGATTTTTTATGAATTTTTGAAGTTCTTAATTTCGCCAGTTTCTTCATCTTATGATTTCTGCTGCTACGATTAAGCATGTTCTTAGCATGTTTTGTAGGATTTATTACCATTTATTTGATGATATCCTTTATTATTAGGATAGTATTATTGATAAAGTTAGTTCTAATGGTATGAAATATGTCAGCTTATATCATCCTTCATCATTGCTACACAGAGAGGTAATAAGAGGGGGAGCCTATAGGGAGGGGGAAATTTAATTTTGCTCTTTTTAAGATGGTGTCTTTGGTGGAGGAATTAGAAAAATGGAAAGAAATTGAGACTTTCAATTTGACAGAAGAAGACAAGTGAAAAGTTTATTATACATTTGTACTCTTATTCCTCTTCTTTCTCTCTTCCTCATGTAGTGATGATGGTCTACCTATTTTATGTACAACACTACATTCCAACTATCCCACAGCATTACTTCAACTCATGGACTCATTCCCATACTTCCATACCTCAGACTCGTGTTCCAATTTATTAGCCATCTCGACGTCATTGTCCTGTTTTCATGGTAACTCGGCTCTGCTGTCTTTGATTGAGGAAGTCTGGGGCATCCCCCACAATACATTATATAGCTCTCGGCAAAAGATGGAGACTATTGGACTACTGAGGAGAATAATTAATAATTTATTGAACACTGTGAAGCAGGTGGGGGACGAAGGGAGAGAGGAAAAGTAATGAATTAATTCTGTTTTAGGTAGCAGATGCTGCTAGACTAAGATATAATTTATATCGAAGGAAAGAATTAAGAAGTAGACAAAGAAACAATTTTGATCGCCTTCTTTCAAGGTAACGAGTGTACAAGCCATTTTTATGATTACCGATAATAGAAAATCTTAATTTCATAGTGTTGGTAATTACTGGTCATTCATTGGAGTAGTGTTTGTCCTAGTCTGTTTTAGTGTAGCCTGGTCACATGATCAGTCACATGACCTCAGTAAAATGATAAAGTAAGTGTATATTGCTTTGTACTGGTATAGCCTCATGATAACGTTATTAGGTTTTTGAAGAAGGTTCTTTCATTTTGCGAAAACTTTTCCTCTCAGACCTCATCAGCCAAGAATCGATGGGAAGAGTCAGATAAAATATGTTCCGACTGCATTGAATTTATTATAACTTCACTATCGAAAATTAATTAAATTGTATCACACAAATATATTACAATGAGAGTTTATGAATAATTATATCATTAATTGTTTCTGTATGTTCGCTCTTTTTTTAAAACTTTAATTCCCATGCTTCTCGCGGAACCAATTATGAGTCTGCAGATCCCCTCCAATGGGAGTCTCTTTAGGGCGGAGTCCTGAGACTTGACACGTGCAATCTCGTACACATGCTTCAGCAACACAGTCCCTGCTACTTCTTTACCTGTAATTGGATTGGTTGGCTATTTTTAGCAACAGGAGTGACTCACCTTGGTGAGATGCTCCTTTCTCTATTCCTGCAGCTGCTTTGAGGAAGTAGGATACAGGGGGTGAGGTGATTTCTATTGAGTATGATCTGTCAGGCTAAGACTGTTTGTAAATATTTTATTTTTTACGGATATTCTTACGTTAACGTGGATTCTGGTTGGAATGGGGATGTTCTCTTTGATGTCTTTCGTCTGTTCGTTGAAATCTTTGCAGAAAAGACCAATATTTATGCCTCTCTAAGAATAAAATATTGGATGAAATATGAATGAAATTACTGAAAATTTCTGATGGTTTTTGCATGTCATGTAGAAGTAAAAATAATAAAATAGTTAATTTTTTATTTATTAAAAAAATTATCTCACTTGTCCTAGTGTACGTCCCAGTATTGAAGTGGTTGCTTTCTGTGCTGGTATATATAATCTCAATGGAGACATTAAATCTCCTCCTCCTGCAATTTTCTTCCCAGCTTTACTGGCAACTTTGGAAGCCATGCTTTCATCCAAATTTAACCGTAAAATATCTAATTAACCGGAGCTCTACCCAATCCTAATTCAGCGAATAAAATAATTTTACTCAATTTTAATGATTTTGTGAAAATTTTGTTTATTCTCTTCTTTAGGCTGTGTACTGTACTCTGCTAATAATGGCGTGGTTCTCTTCGATAGCTGGTAAAGCCGAGCAGCTTCTCAATCAGTTAGACGAAGCTGCTGCCACCTCACTACGTGACTCTGGCATGACCACGCCCAACAAGTCCCAGACCACGCCCACAACCTCAGACTCCTTTCAATCAGAACCTGTTGCAAAAACTGGTTTATCGTACGAGCCAGTGGCCCAGTCTCCTCCAGCGTATAGCTCAAGACAGCAACAGCATGGGGCGCCACCATTGAAATCAACTGTATCCAGTAGCAACGTTGCTCCACCCACTTGGGACTCACCGTGGGGTGTTCCTTTTTCCTCTTCCAGTCCAAAAGTATCTCGTTCATCTACTGGTGATGGGCGGGGCCAGCAAGCTAAGGAGGACGACTCATTATTAGATTTTCTTAACAGTCCGTCCTCGGGAAGTGGAAAGAAGAAAACCACACCCACTTCTACAGGTAGCGAGAAAAGAGCTAAAATAAAGAAAAGCAAAGTTACTGCTACTACTACTAATATCACTGGTAATTAATTAATATGATATTAATGTGTGTGTGCATAATTATTTATGTTGTAGGTGAATCTACTGATTCAGCTCTATTAGGATTACACGACAAAGTGATATCACTTGATTCTGCCAAAACTGATCCTGTTTCTTTTTCAGATTTGACTAATAAGCCTCCCCTCCAGATCAAGCCCATATCTACTCCGCCCATCATATCCTATCAACCTTCTCAAAAGCAGGAGCAGCAGCTGGCACAGAGTAAGACTCAGCAAACTGAGGAAGGAGCGAAACCAGTTGAACCGGTTGAGGGAGGTCTCTTTACTGTAACACAGAAACAGCTTGAAGAGGAGAATATGAGACTGAGGGAAGAAATCAGTTATCTCAGTGCTGAATTGAGGAATAATAAAATTAAAAATGATGAGAGAGGAAAAGGTGAGAGAGAAAGAGAGAGAGGGAAGGAGAGAGAGAGAGAGAGGGAGGGAGGGAAGGAGGGATGGAAAGAGAGAGAGAGAGATAGATGATGTTGTCTTTCTTTCTGCTTCTGCTTCTTTCTAGTTGAGTCACAATTGAAAATTGATGTTAGCTCATTAAAGAAACAAGTATCACAATTGGAGCAGCTACTCCAGAGGATGAGATCTCAAGAAGATGACCTCAAATCAACGCTAGAATCAAGAGAATCACAGATACAGGTACTACGAACTAGACTATTAGAATCGGATGAAAAATTAAAGATGATGAAAGAAAAAATGGAAGAGACAGAGAGAGCGAAAGATCAGTAAGAAATATAACAATAATTATACTTGTGTGAGACATAGCAATTGTCTCTCTTACTTTTCTCTCTTCTTTATTTTAAAAGGTTTTTATCTGATGTTGGTAAGAGCTCAGATGCTCAGAATCAGGCAATACTAAGCGTAAAGTCACAGCTAGAGCAATCGCAGCATCAGCTCTTACAAGAGAGGGAGAACCAGACAAGACTAAAAGTGATTAAGTGTATAAATTCTTGTGTGAGTTCTTTTGTTAGGAAGAATTTGAGGAGAGAGAGTTTTCTTGGAATAAAGAGAGAGAGGAGATGAGTCAGACACTTTACATGCAAGGGAAAGAACTTCAAATGCAGCAACGTAAGAAAGCTTAAGCTAAGTACATGTACATGTACCTCACTATCTCTCTTTCTACAGTAAAATATTCCGAGTGCCACAATAATCTCCAATCAGTGAAACAAGAGTTGCAATTGTTGCATAAAGAGCACAGCGAGTATAAAGTGAAGGCTGCCGGTATATTACAGGTAACATGATACTAACATGATTTTGATCCTGAATCAACGCTAATTTGAATCAGTGTTACTTGTGATGTTTTATCACAGGCCAAAGAGAAAGTGATTGATTCCTTAAAATCCTCGAGCGAAGGAGGAGGAGGAGAGAGGGGACTGGAGGCAGCACTGGATGAGATGAGGAGTGAGAAATATCAACTACAATCTCAACTGATCAATAATGAACAAGTTATATTATCACTGAGAACAGAACTACAGGTAGAGAGAGGAAGGAGAAAAAGCTTATAAAAATACAGCTGTATTTTATTATCTTATCTCCTCCTTTCATGTTAGGAGATAGAAGATTCTCGTTCATTGGAAGTTGATGAGCTAAGGCAGCAAGTGACACTATCAGAAGAAACATTAGAGACAGAGAGACAGGCTCATCTTACTACCCAGGATGAACTGTCCTCTTTACAGAAGGTAGGTTTAGTCTCAGAGGAATATCCTGACCTATTTTTAGGAGTTGGATTCTTTAAAAGATGAGCTTGTGAAAGAGAAGGCGACATTTGTAGGACAAATGAGAGAAAGGGAGAAAATGATTGAAGATTTAAAGTCACAAGTATAGCAAATAATGGATTCTTTATTATAAAAAATATGCTCCTATAGGTTAAGAGTAGTTCCAGCCAACCAGATTCAAGCAGGCAGCAGCTGGAAGAGAGGCTGAAAGAGTTGACTGAGAGTTTGATTGAGAAACAGACTAACCTGGAGGAACTTACAGCAGAATACAATTCAACACAGCTCCAACTTAAGAGAGCTGAAGTGAGAAGGAAAGGATTTAGCTACATAATGTATTTTATATCTATTTATTTTTCATAGACAGCTGCTACTGAAGCTCAAGCTAAAATCAAAGCAGCTGCTAATAGACCATCACACACTGTCCTTAACATAGAGTCTGACTCGACTGGTAAGACCAATAATACAATTTACACCGTACTTCTTCTCTCCTCTTTGTATTGAAGGCTCTGGGTCTTCATTACAGCCAATGGCATCAATGTTACCAGAGAGTGATTCACTAAGACCAAGGCATCTAAGAAGAGTTAGGAATACACTTGATTCTGTGGACAAGATTGGGTAAGCAAACAATGATTGACATTATAGTTTATATGCATAATGTATGTGTGTCCGTGTCTAGGTTACGTGTTGCTTGGGTATTAAGAAGGTATCCTTGTGTTAGATTATTGACCATTGGATATATAGTGAGTGACACTAGCATTGTTAGACCTTGTAGTAAAATTTAGGAGACTGTTCTGCATGCATATCTTATAATTAGAAATGGAAAATTTTATCAAATCTAGGTTGAATATGAGAGACCAAAAGTCTCCTAAACTTACTGTAGATGTAATGTAACATGGCTGGCGAGGGATACTATCCTTACTTTCTTTTTCCTTTCTCTCTGCAGTTGTTATTACACCTGTGGGTGATGATTGTATTATTCACTTATCAACCAGAGATTCATCAAGAATAACTTTTATATCAATAATGATTACTGTAGTAATTTTATTCAATCAATAATAATAATCACAATTTTTATCCACCACTCCATACTGCTCCTCCCTATTTGCTGTCACAGCAATTCTTGAGCTGTTTAGCCTGTTTACTGCCGACTAAAAATATGGCCACTCCCGAGGAAGAAGCTCTCAGGGTTCAGATAGCAGATTTGAATATGGCTTTGGCTAGAAACGAGCCCCTCATACCTCTATTCGCCAATGCTCTTCAAGCTAACGGAGTCATCCCTGAGGCTGTCAGTCTGAGCGCTGCCAATCAACACAACAATGCTATTTCCAGAGCTGGTGGCCTTATAACCTCTTGCATGTCCTCTGTGAAGCTTACTCCTAGCAAGTTTGGTGTGATAGTTAAAGTGCTGACGGATGTGGGGCTGAAGGAATCAGGAGACAGTCTTGTGAGAGCTTTAATTGCTAAAGGAGGAGAAATACAGGAAACTGATGGAGCTCAAAGTAAAAATAAGAACTAGACTATAAAAATCGTTTTTATGTTTTTGTGTAGGCTACTCTGGAACAGCTAACAATGAAGCACAAGCAGTGAGTGGGAACGGACACACAAGAGGTGATGCACATGCACCTAATGCTGGTATATTGTATTATTGAGTGTTTTATAGATGTGGACGTTAGTAGCGTCATCAAAATATTGGATAAAGTTTTGAACGAGAACCAAGTCGCAATAAACGATGCTTTTGAGGGATCGATCCCCGACATTGCTAGAGAACTAAGTCAGTGTGACATTATAACAAAGTCTGTATTGAAGTCACCAACATACGAGGCCATCATTGGGAACTTTAGATCAGGAATGAGATGCACTGATACTCTCCTTAGTCTAGAGAACTATTGTTTTAGCTTTTTACAAGGACTGGGTAATGTTGGTGGACCAGTGAATAAGGCTGCCAAAATGCTGGAAAAGAAATGGATTGAAGCAGTGAGGAAAGAAACTGGAGCTGAAATAGAATTCAAAAAATAATAATTTTATTATTTTTTTAGAATATTCAACATAATTTTTTATGATGGGCGGGGTCGTTTAAATCCAGTTTAGCCACGCCTACCAAATAATGGCACCCATTGAAATGTGGTGGTAGGAGGCTTATGAGTATTGAGCGAGGTTTCGAGGAATACAGTGTCTCCGTTAGCGACTCTACATCATCTCTACCCTCTCCACTCTTCCTCTCCTTCATCTGTTTTGTTCTTTTGATGTCAGGGATGTCCTTTTTAAGTCGTCCAATAAAGCTCAGATGCTGTCAGTGTTGGATTGATGGTGTGCCTCCAGTCTGGCTGGTAATACTGGGACTAGCAGTAGTACAGGTTATTTAAAGGAATGGAGGGAATAATAAGAGAAGAGAGGAGTTAGGAGAGAAGAGAGAGAGAGGCTGGAGAAAGATTTATCTGATTAAATGTCTCTTTGTTCCTGCTTTAGTTGGGATTTGGTGGCTACCCAGTTGTTATTAAGAAATTTGCTGACTCAAAAGAATCAAAAGCCGATCCGCTTATACTTAGCTTTTACCGGTAATCACAAAAAGTTTTGAAGAAAGTTCTAATTTTCTTTTTTTTCTCCTGTAGTGATCTTTGCTGTTTTCCTGTTCTGTTTTTGTGTGCTTTTGTCGCCGAGCGTAAAGTGATGATACCGTCTCTTAAAATGCTATTTGTGAGCTAACAGTATTTACTTTTAGCAATAATCACATTCTCTTTCATTCTCCAGTGGTTTGCCGTGTTTGGTTTATTGGGCATGTTTGGTAACCAGGTAAGAAAGAAAGCTATTAATCAATAATTATTTTTTAAAATTATTTTTATCACCTCATCTTATCTCCAGTATCTCTTTATTTTGGGTGTGTACAAAGCTGGTCCAAATGTAGCATCTGTTTTTCAAGTAATTATGCACCATGCATGCATGCATGCACGCATAATATCAGAACCACACCCACCTCATTATATATTCATCATAGCCACTGATTCCAGTTTGGACTGCTGTCATAGTCTGGTTGACATGTACCGAACGGGCCAAACCTGCTGGAGTAATAAGGAATTAATTGTTAGTATTTATCATTATTATTATTATTTATAGGTGGCCTTTTGGATTAAGTTATTTGGAATATTACTAGCAGCTGGTAAAGGTTCATATATTATGTATTTTAATTTTTGTCGTAGGCGGGGCTATAGAGATAACAGTGACGGGTGAGAGATCAAGTGGAGGAACTGATGAAGATAGATTCCAGCGTATCCTTGGCTACTTATTTCTCTTTGGAAACACACTATGCATGGTAAACCTAGTCACATGATAATGATAATCACGACATGCTGGTCCTCTTTTTCTAGTCAGTGTATGTGTGGCTCCAAAAAAGATTTGTATTTGGTGATAAAAATAGTAAATGAGGATTCTATCACATGCACTTTCATATTGTTCTGTTTATAGATAAATGGAGGGAGTATCCGGTGTTTGTTACAGCCTATTCGTATTTCTTTGGTGCCGTATTCATGGGACTCTGTTCATTACAGAATGTCGTCTCTGAAGAGAAAAGAGAGAAATTTACGATTCCTAGACCAGTGAGATAAAAGCCTTCTCATCTTTTACTTTACTTTAAACTCTCTCTCCTTCTATCCTTATCTCCTCTAGTCAGTATATGTTCTTGTCTATGCTACTTTCATTACTTCGGCTTTATGCTATCTTCTAATTACATGGGCTAACTCACAGGTATCTTCAATATTGGTCACTGCCTCGTGGCCTCTACAGGTACTACTGCTAGCTACATGTGCATGCAGCTATAATTATACTCTGAATTGTCGTTTGTTAGGTTTTAATTGCCGTTCTTGGCTCATGGCTTTTCTTGAATATTAAATTCTTATATTTAGTAAGCTTAGTTTCACAATTAAAAGCTATATCACACACACACTCTCGCTCTCTCTCTCTCTCCTTTTCTTTAGCAATACCTTGGAGCTGCTATGCTCATATTGGGTCTTGTATTTGTCCTCCTTGCAAACTACCAGGTAACCAGACAAGCCCCAAATCCTCTCATTGTAACTGTGACTTCGTAGGAAGAAAGAGAGAGAAAAGGAAAAGGAGGCTTCATAGGTAGAATTAATTTGCTCAAGTGCTGCATTGATCAGACTTGCAATGATGGTGGAGAGGATACTGATCCTCTTCTAGGATCAGTTAACAGCATACCAAGTGCTCCTTCTCCACTTTATGAAAAGGAAGAGAAGAAGCCTCTGGACTCTACTCCATTGTCAACCTCTGATGACGAGAGAAAAATAAACTGATACAATGATGATAATAATAAATAAAGCTATGGGAGATAATGATGATAATTAATGCTGTGCTGATACTATAAATAAATTATTTTATTATTGTAAAAAAGAATAATTTACTATAATACAAGTATTACAATAATTGTTGTAAAATTGCTCATAGTGAAAGTTGTAACACCTTGTTCACACTTCAAGGTGTTAACAAAGCATCTTAAGGTGTCAAAAGTTTTTTTGACAATAATTAAATTTGAGAGGCAATGTAACACCTTGTTAACACTTTGAAGTGTGAACAAGTTGCAAACATTTTTTACAAAAAAATTTTAACACCTTGAAGTGTGAACAGGGTGCAAAATTTTTGAAAAACAAAATTGTTTTGAGAAGTTATGATTTTTGCCTGCCAGTATTTGCATATTTACTTCATTCATTAAAATTGTAATAATGATTGGAAATAAAATTAATTAATTATAACAATGATAATAATGAATAAAATAATACACTGTAATAACTTTGATTGCTGCATAATACTAATAAAATAAATTAAATAAATAAATAATAAATAACAATATTGATTATAATAATTATTGTTGTATTTGTTCCTATAACTGTCATTGAAATTCGTGTGGTCTGAGCCACACCCACCACTCAAACAGATATAGTAAGAACAGCTTCCATTTCGTTATCATTATAGCTTGCACACTTCTTCTCAGTGACTCCGCCCACTTCCTATCCTCTTCTCCGATGGTTTCTATGCAGACCTTGGACATTGTGATAAATGAATGGGTGTGGCTACTAGATTGTAGAGTGTGGTCTATGCTACGAAGCAAGTCGTTGGTTTTAAGAATAAGTAGCAGTTGACTGGGAACCTTATCGAGCAACTGTGTAATCTCAGAGAAATAGTTGACGACTTCTGTCCCAATCTCTCCTACCTACAGTATGAGCAAATAAAAAATAAACCACTTTCTTTCCTGCAGCTCTCTCTCTTTTCTCCTCTCTCTCTTTTCTCTCTCCCTGCCTCCCTCCCTCCCTCTCTCTCTTTCTCTCTTCTTCACTTCTGAATTGCTTCTAGAAGCTTTAGTTATTCCTCTCTCAATGCTATTCCAGGTCCTGGCTGATATCATGCAGGCCAGTAGTGGGTATAAATCCCCAGCATTCAAAGAGAGACAGTGGACCCTAATGGCATCCATATCTTTCCTCATTAGACCGTCCCACAGTTTACAATATGTCATCCTAAAATCATCTGATAGAGAGAGAAAGAAAGAAAAAAGATGGATAATTATAATGTACATATAAATGCAATGCAACGATTGTAAATGTATTTATATTTATAATTATCATCATCATCATTACTATGTACCTGTCAACTGCTGATAGAGTCCATGATCAAGTAGAACAATTTCCACATTTCCCTTCCCTCCTCCTACTCCCTCTCTTCCCTCCTTCCTTCTCACGAGGACATTCCCAGGGTGAGGGTCACAGTGCATGAAACCATAACTGTAAATCATACGAGAATACATCTCTGACACACACAGACTGATCTGATTAGGAAAGAAAAAAAGATGCATTTACAATCAATGACTAACACAGGGTTTCCCGCAAAGCGAGTTAAGTAAACTATAAATCAAGCCTTAATTTTTATATGGCACAGATAGCACATAGCAACTTTAAAAATTCATAAAAAATCCAGTTTTGATTAAAATTACATGTAGCTCAAACTTGCTACACAACATAAGAACATGTACATGTATATGTATCAGGAAAAATTATAAAAATGGAGAATTCTCTCCTAGCATGCAATTTTTGTCAAAATTCAACTTTTAACATAGCACAAGGGCATCAGTAATTATGCATCAGACTACAATACCTCATTGACTGATAATTTATTATCTTTAATGTATTGAATGTCATTTATTTTACCACCTTCACAATACTCCATTACTAACAATCTTTTTGTAGCTATATGAACCTTTGGAATCTGCAAAGAGAATGAAAATAGAAATGCTTGTACACTATGTATGTACCTTGACAAAGTTAATATTATTTAAATTGAATAACCGAGAGCATTTGTCCATGTTCTGTGCTTCAATTCTAAAATCAAGTTCCTGTGGAAGGTTCTTACGGACACCATCAGCTAACCACCCAAACTGAAAACTGGGAAACACTTTTGATGCACAGTACACTAAAAACTAAAAAAACTTCAAAATACTTATGACATGCTCTCTCTCTCTTCTCACATCAACGGTAGCCATGTCAGTCAAAGCATTCTTCATAACTCCAGGATGCTGTATCTTTACAGCTACTACCTCTCCAGTCTCTTTCAACACTGCCTTGTGACACTGAGCTAGTGATGCAGCACCCAATGGCTCCCCTTCAAAATCTGTCAGTAATGCACTGGCTATAGAGAGAGAGAGAGAGAAGAAGAGAGAGAGAGAGAGGGGACAAAGGGAGAACCATTACTTACAGTCCACTTTTAATGGCAAGGAAAATTTTTAGCAAATTTAGTGAAGGTTTTTAAAAACTAGACTATAACGTGATGCATAAATTATCACAAAAAATGCTTTAAATGTAGACCAAAATCCTTTATATGCATTTCAATACACAAAAATAACACTACAATTACTGGAAAAAGTATATAAGAACAGAGATCATTAATCAGAAAGAGGATAAGCACAATCTCACCAGACACATTAAGTTCTTCCTGGATTACTTTTCTTAGTCTATCCAGTGGAGTTTGAGGTGCATTCGAATGAAACACTTTGAATGTTTGCACATATTCTGCCGGGAGGAGATACTCCAGAGACCCAATATGCTGGCCTATCTTTATATAACAACCACCATTCTTACGACACATTCTGAGCAGTCTCTGAGCAGATCTGCGATGAATCTGATTGGTCAAAATAATAGCAAGCAATTAATTAATTATTATAGTACCAAGATTAATAATAATTATTACATTTTAGTAGCCATAGCAACTACATTCTCCAACAAACAGGTGTAATTTTCTTTTTAAAATGCTTACATGCGATTTCATTTCATTGTACTCAGTTTCCTTGAGGGAAGAGAGGCTCCATTTGTAATCCAGAGACACCAGAAAGGCCTGTTGTATGATCATGAATGATGAAAAATTACATAATAATAATAATAATACTATTTTATCTTATTTTCCTCACTAAACTGCTATTGCTGCTCTACTAAAGCGGACACAGGTGAGCGAAGACCACCAAGAGTTACTGTCTGATGTCCTTTCTAAGTACCCCACGCTCAATCCAGCCCCTGCTATCAGACCCAATGCCTTGGAGACCATTGTGCCTTAGTATACGGAGGCGCGTGCAAGTTATACAACATTACGAAACATTGAAACTGTAAAAACGGAAGTTTTATCCCCGCATACTCCCGGATATCTCTTTTCAAGATGGCTGTAAATCGAGCTGTAGCTGGCGAGCTGAATAGAGCTAGATTCTTTGTAAGAGGTCTACCTTGGTCCACATGTGAAGGTAGGACTGATATAAAATATTCAAAATAACTATTATTTTTAGAATCTTTAAAATCTTTTTTCTCTCGTTATGGAAACGTAAAAAAAGCAACAGTCATTTTCGTTAGTCACAAGAAGGGTTAAATATTCTCAGAATCATGTTCTTCACATTATACAGGACAAAAATAGTGGTTTATCGAAACAATATGGATTTGTTGAAATGAAAACTGTTGAAGAGGCGGAGAGAATCATTGCGATGAAAAGTTTTTATCTCACAAAGGGAAGAAGAGTAAGGAAGAGAGAGATATATATCCTAAATTGTACTGTGTTATTGATAGGTTGAAGTAGCCGAGGCTATGCATAAAAAATACGATACTGATACAAGATTTGATCTTTATTGACTGTTACCCGAACCATAGTGGCATTCACTCTTGAGTAATATTGAAAATCAAATATTATTGAGAATTATTGTATAATATTAATAATATTATTAATAATGATTGATAACTTAATCATTGTTAATCAATCTATCGATTTTCCTAAAAGAGACAACTATACAATGAGAGAGAGATAGAGAGGTAGTGAGGGAGAGAGAGAGAGAGAGAGAGAGAGAGAGAGAGAGGGAGGAGGGAGAGAGAGGGTGACAAGCTGATAGTCACATGTTACTTTACCTGTGCTAAGAACTCGGTTGCATCCATTAGTTCAGTTGTCCCATACGTAATCCTCTTAGTGGGCTGGTTTATTGCAGTACCACTGCTGCCTGCTTGCTGTCTTGAGCAATGATCTTGAAGGTTTTGATATTCAATGTAGTTTCCACCTCCAACCACAAAAACGTAAGCCTCTTGAAAAGGGCCACGCCCTCTCGCCGAACTGGAAATAGGAGAGACATGTAAATTCATTAATCGTACATATACATGACATTAATCTCATTCGTTGTAATTGTACATGTACCTGTACCTGTCAGTTCCTCTTAGTAGTTTGGGATCAAAATAACGAAAATCTTCAGTCTCCTAATAATAATAATTGTGATAGTGATGGGCGTGGCTAATTAATTATTCATTACTTTTGTCACTTTCATTTCCATTAGCTGATCCACTATTCTTGTAAAAGGTAAGTCCTAATTAATATTCATAGACTATAACTCTCTTTTCCTCTCTCTTTACTTTCGTTCTTATAACAAAATTCCTAACTCCTTCCATCATTTTGGTCCCTGACGTGTATAGATGCTGAAACATTGTACTGTGTTAGAAAAGGGTAAAGTCACAAACAAGACACGCCCACAATTACCTCATGGAGCTGGAGGAGTATCCAGTGCTTGCCTGTTTGGCTATCCTTGGGTTGGCAGCCATCTTTGTCAACGCTCTATTCAATTAAAATACAACTCAAAATAAATTTTGAGTTGTAATTTTTTGAAATGGCTTGATAAAGTGCATGTTGTGCCTTATGTACACATACACACATACATGTACATGTACAATTGTGTACATGTATACATGTATGTAGCCGCTATAGGACTTACTTCCATTTCTTAATATAATGTACTGGAGATGTATCAGTTGCCATTGACTCTAGAGCAGTGAGATACTGCTCTAATTCAGACTATAGGAAGAGAGAGAGAGGAATAATGATTGCAATACATTGTGTATGTACCTCTGGCATTGTGTCTTGTGAGAGAATATAATATATAAGAAATAATCTTAATTTGTCTTCAGGTTCGCCAGCTACAGGAGAGAGTGACAATTTATTAGCATATTCCTGGTACTACTAACCTGATGGATCCGTTAGTATATCCAGTATTGGCTTATCCTTTTGAAAAGAGAATGATATTTATTAAAAATTAATAGATGTACACACAGTGCATGTACTATATTACATGTACTGTGATGTACATGTACATATTAAACGTTACATGTGAATAAATGACATATACATGTATGCCTGTACTTATACTAACTGGTGTTGATCTTGTAAGCAGCTTGTCTTCAATCTCAAAAAATAAATCAAGTTTCCTTTTCTACAAAAAGAAAATTAATAAAGAACAAATATCGCCAATTTTATGAGAACCTTGATCTGGTCAAGGAGAGAAGTGGCAATGTTCGTGTGCATGTCAATGCTCTTCTTCTTCTCCATCAACTCAGGAAGAGAACTACATTAGAAAAAAGAAAGAGATATCAAATATACAGTTAATTAATACATCAATAATTAATTAATAGTTATTAGTAGTTATTACGTTATTGCTGATGTCAGTTTAGCCGTACTGTCGCTGAGATCAGCGGGCATTAATTGGGAATCATCTCCATTAGATGCACCCTATACAAATTGTAAACATACATACACTAGTATTACAAACCACTCCCTCTCCTCCTACCATAACATCCCTCAGTCGTGAGAGCTCAGTCTCCTTTGCTTTATAAGCTGTCACTTCAGACTGGACAGCATCAGCTACCTCAGGGAATGGACTGCCTTTATACGACCTCCAGAAACTACAGATAATAAGAGCTAGTGTTGGTGGGTGTGGTTAAACAAGACTCACCCATCACTACCATGAAGATCGTAAGATTTCGCCTGCTGGACACTCCCTTCATCATCGGTCGACTGAGGTATCGTAATTCGATTTAATTGTAAGTCCTACAAGAAATAATTTTTCAAAAATTTTTTGCACAAATACTCACAAAGACATCGTGTGCCAGAGCTTGATATGTCCACGTGTGATGGAGAGGTGTGGCCAGATCCATCGTACGATCAAGTATTATGAGAAGTGGCCGAGAAAAACTAAAAATAAAATGACATCATCAAACCAGGCCCACTACTACATTATTAGCACATCCACAAATTAATGACTGACCCAATCTGTGAGACGGAGAGTGTGTCACCAGTGAACATGCTGGTTCGTGGGTCACGAAGATTATCTTTAATCTTCTTGTCAAGTGTCTCGGCTACCATTTCAGCAGCATTACCTCTAGGACACCTTATGATGGGAACCATGCCTTACAAGAGAAAGGAAAGAAGAAGATACGTGTACATGTAGTTATGTCAAGACTGAGTAGATAATAATTAGAGAAGAGTGTCCTACTGTGGACTATGATCCCTGCTCCATCACCACGTAGAAATGGAAAGTCACATTTCGATGATTTTTCGGTATTTTATTTGAGTAGTTATTGTTAGTTATTTTTCTAATAACTACTCAAATAAAATACGAAAATAACTGAAATGTGACTTTCCATTTCTACGTGGTGATGGAGCAGGGGGTCATAGTGAACAGTAGGACACTCTCCTCTAATTATTATCCACTCTTGGTTGTGTCAATGCAATTATTGATCCTTCATTACCAGCAGTGACAAAGACAGAGAATAAAGAGTCAGCTATTATATCAGTGATAGCTTGTATGTCTGTATCCTTGCAATCAGGGCGATTCAATTCTAAATAATGCACACGGATAATTAATGAGTGAACTATTGATGGAGTACCGTAGTATGAGATTGCTGTTTTATCTTGATGTCTCGTGATGAAGAGATCATCTTCAAGTGAAATGAAATTTAGATATTGATCATAAACCTGGAGAGAGAGAGAGAGGACATAAAGTAACAAGACACAACAAACTTTCTCTCTTCCTTTACTTTTGATACTTGTGCCACGCAGTTGGCATCAACGGCTGCTTTGGCTACCTCCTCAAGAAGTGGGCGTGGGACCGGAGTGATGAAATTAAAATGATAAGACTCATAAAGGTACGAGTGAAGATCACGACACAAGCGAGACACAACGTCTTGGGTTGGAGTCACAAAGTATATAGCAGCTGCATCAGGAACTGGCTCACGACTACCATCAACTGAACTAGAGGAAAAAGAAAAAGAGAGAGAGAGTATTTATTATTTTAATACAATAATTGATAATAATACAGGTAAAGTGTGATGGCCAATTGTCTTAGCTCCTTGACAGTCAGTAAAGGTGAGATAATGTCTTGACCAAACTTATCGTACACTAATAACTAAATAAATAAATGAATAAATAAATAATAATTTCTTAAATACGTACTTTCCAGACAGGTTCCGATGGCTGTAAGCTCTTGTTCACTTGAGAATTGAAATTTAGCATAGACTTTATGGCAGCTGTCACCAATTATAATGAAAAAAATTAATAAGTTACAATTATAGTCTTTCTCACCAATCTGCCTATTTCTCAAAGAGTTTTGGGCTGCAGGGACAGATCGAGGGACAGATCCATTGGAAGAAGTCGCCATTGTTCTGTCAGCTCGGAGGGCGCGGAGGTTAAACTTATAATGACGTCATTCTCAACAAAGGGTTAAAAATTAAATTAAAAATGGCGCCCTTTTAGAAGGCCAAAAAAAAAGAATGTACTCAGAGTGCGTCTCCTTGGCCGACTCCATCCTTTCACAGTCTTCCTCTGAAGAGAATGTTCTCCGCTCATTTCCTTCTGCCGTTGGGAGGGAAGTAGTAGGTCCTGTCATTCGCTCATTACAAGAGCTTGTACTGGGAAAAAGTATTGGTGACACAGACCCCCTCTCTTTACCAGGTGGAAAATTAATAATAACTATTTTAATTTTAAAATAGAAATAATTTATTACTTGTGTTTGTTTCTATTATTGTTTTGTGCTTGGAACTCGGAAGCTTGCAGCAATTTTGAAACTCGTGGTTTAAGTTTTGATAAAAGTTTGTTCTTCATAAAAAAAATTTTTGTGTCAGAATCAGTTCGATCTTTTTAAGAGCATTAGTATGTATTGAAGTTAAATTATTAATACATGTATTAGTGTTTTTTTTACTGCAAGTATGTACATGTACATTCATATTATGTAGAGAAAGTTTGATCAGATCTTAGTCCACAATTTTAGAGTTATGGCCATATAAAGAAATGGGTCCTGAAAAAATACTCTGTATTATAGCCCATGGTTTTTTTCAAAAAATGGCTTTGTAATCATGCTCAATTTTTATTACATTTTCTAGCACATATTGATGTCCTTATGCTGTGTAGAAATTTTGAGCTGATTCCGACTTCAATTTTTTGAGTTATGGCCATTTTAAAAAATAGGCCAATTTCTGAAAAATCCCCTGTACTATAGCCCATGGTTTTTTCCAAAAAATGGCTCCGAAATCACCCTCAATTTTTATTACATTTTCTAATACATATTGATGTACTTATGCTATGTAGAAAGTTTGAGTTGATTCTGATTAGAAATTTTTGAGTTATAGTCATTTTTAAAAACGGGCCATTTTTTGAAAAACACCCAAGGCTATAAGTCCATGGTTTTTTCCAAAAAATGGCTTTGAAATCACCCCCAATTTTTATTACTTTTTCTGATACATATTGATGTCCTTATGCTGTGTAGAAAGTTTGAATCGATTCTGATAAGAAATTTTTGACTTATGGTCATTTTTTTAAATGGCCCATTTCTTGAAAAACACCCAAGGCTATAGTCCATGGTTTTTCCAAAAAATGGCTCCGAAATCACCCCAAATTTTTATTACATTTTCCAATACATATCGATGTACTTATGCTATCTAGAAAGTTTGAGTCGATTCCGACAAGCAATTTTCAAGTTATGGCCATCTAAAGAAATAGGCCAATTTTTGATAATTTTCCTGTACTATAGCCCATACTTTTCCATAAAATGGCTCCAAAATAACTTTCATTTTAAAAGGACATTTTAAATGCATGATCCCCTTATATTATGCAGCCAATTTTAACTACGATGATTATTTTTGTAAGCCAAAATACATGTACATGTATTTTTATGGCATTTATTCTTGCACGCGGTCTTTGGGCATAATATAAACTCGATACTTTTGACTCTCCATATTTTAATTTGTCTTATATGATTTTTAATATAATTATTATTATCTCACTCCCATTCCTCCTCCTATCCTTTACCTTGTTTCCTCTCTCAGAGCATGTCCAGTGGGTAATGCAGACAGTTGGATATGGCCTAACCCTCCCACTGAGTGAGCTCTCTTTACTGCAAGGCTGTGTTGATGTGTATCAAGACTGGCTCTCCTCACTCTACTTTCAAAAGAACACAGTACCACTACCTATTAGACAGGATCCTAATCACTACGCTCAAATAATATTCTCACAGCTCTCCTCTCTCTTCGTCCCGCGAGAGGGAGAGCCCCGACTCCTTGAGGACCACGCCTTCCTCTGCAAGAAAGTCATTGATATCGTACGCTCACTGATGGTTGTTAAAGGGCTAAATATGAATAGGGATACGTGGGCGTCGGTCTTTGAGTTTCTGCTTCACATCTGCGACTTGTTGCTGTCTCCTCCTTCTCAGAGCCCGAGTCTGGGAACGAGTTTATGTGAGTCACTCATTAGGGTCCTCTTCTCTGCCTGGCTAAGGGCTTGTAAGGTAAGAGTACATGTATAGTAATGTACATGTACATGTATGCATGGATACAATCTAGTTTCTTCATTTTTCTTATTTTATACCTTGTATTAACTACTTTAAGAAGAAAATTGTTTGTGAGTATTTAATTTAGCGAATTTTAAGCGATTTTAAAAATCCCTAACCTATAAGTCCACGCTAACTTTAATTTCTGATTTAAATCATTAATATATATTAATATTAAATGATCAAAACACTAAATTAAATACCAGCCAAATGTAAGTATTGTGAAGATCACTAAAATAAGTACACGCTAATAACTGACTCCTTTAGGTACATTTATTACATACTGTAAACCTATTAATGTTAGCGGCTATTTTATTTAGCGTTTATGCTTAAATGTCAAATTAGCGACTATTAAATTTGGCATATCATTAAACCTTTCCCACTTTTCTGTTAGCTGCTGCTGTCATTCCACTGGGTTCTCCTTCCTCTGGTAGTCTTGCCGACCGAGCAGAAGAGAGCCATCTACTTGTATAGTATCAGCATAGATACTGTATCTATGGTATCAGCGACATTTTGTGATCACGTGACCGGGTGTTTTTATTAGCGAATATTAAATTTAGCGTGTTTAGGCTCTTCGCTAATATCGCTAAAATAAGTAGCACGCTAAAATAAGTAGCACGCTAAAATTTGTAGTTTTACAGTATTGGTCGGGAATTTATGATGGGTGGATTGGTGGATCTACAAAAAAATTAATTGTATAATTAATTGGTTGTTATTTTTGAGCATACTCAACTGTAAAATTTGCTCATTTGTACATGCACATGTATATAAAGTCTGCCAATGATATGATTTCAGAGAAATTGCCAAACCCAATATTTTGGATCCATGAAAAATGCACCGGTAATTGTATAATTAATTAGCCGTTAATGTTCTTTCATTCTGAAGATGCTCAACCATAAAATTGCCAATTTGCACTGTACATGTACAATGTACATACAATTTGCCAAATACATTTTTTCGGAGAAATTGCCAAGCCAAATATTTTGTCTATCACGTAAACAATAATTATACTAGCAGTACATGTGTACGTTACTCAGTATATTCCTGTTTATTCTAGGATACTTTCCCTGTTCCTAATCTATGGAAGACTCTTAGGGAGTTTTGCTGTCGGTGGCGCCACCATCCCCAACTGATCCAGCAGTGGTCAGAAGTAATGTTCTCTCTCTCCGCCCACCTTGTCTCTTATCTCTACGGGAGCAAACACCTCTCCTTTTTACGCCAACAGAATTCGTCTTTATTTGGCTCCGCCCAGTTCTCGGGCTCTGATTTCAATCCCTTGATAAAGGACCTGGATTACAGCATAACAGTCCAGGCCTGGTTCAGACTGCTACACACTCTTGGTAACCTTGTCGACCTCTTACATCCTGACGTCATAACTGGGACTCCTTCTTTCCGACGTGCCCTGGGCGGGAGTAGCGTTGGGGCCTCTCCCCTTACCCCCTCCGTCCAGAGCTGTGTTGACATGCTGCCTTTTATCTTTGAAGAGGCGATGAGTGCCCTGCTCAAACAAGTCACGATATTCATTGGGCAGGATTCGTCCCTTAACACCAATGCTAAGGGTGGTAAAGGTGGAAAGCCTCTTGGTTTGAGTGCTGCTCTAAAGCCGGGGTCTGTCGGGTTTAGATCTCCTAGCGTGAGACGTAAAGAGACTTCGACTGCTCTCTCGAAATCGACCTTTTATACCCCTAGCCCTGTCCAAACACCCCCTAGTAAAGGAGGAGAGAAAGAAGCAGAGAAAGGAGGAGGAGGAGGGGTGAGCGAACCATTTTATATTAATTTATCTCCCGACCCTGCCTCTCCTCCATTTTCCGCTCTTGATCTTGCGGCTTCAGGTGGGAGTGGAACTTCAAGGGGGAGGACCACGGGGAGTCTCCCCAGGAAAGACGAAGGAATGATCGGGAAGCCAAGAGGTAAACATGACAATGATAACACGTCCTCCACTTTGTAACCGGCTTGTTCAGCACTTGGATGAGTTTTAATAGCAATACCTGGCAATAACAGGAATTATGAATTTGTTTTTAATTTGTTACTGGATCTGCCTGTTAGTTTATAGTGCATACAGTGTTATTAATTTGCTCTGGGACTGACCCTAGAAATACAGTTGTAAACATGGCATGTAAACATACCATGTAGATGTTTTGTACCTACTGATTACAATTTCCTTGTAAATTTTATAGTAGTGATAATTAGTTCTTTATTGTGGTGCTCTTGTTTTTAGGAAATTCTTTGTTACACATATTTGGCGTTTGGCTCTTTGAAGCAGCAGCTTGGACCGGAAAGGATCGGAATGGACTCTCTCTAATCTCAAAGAGGCCAACAAGCAGTGTAGCTGATATCCAGGAATTAATGAAATTACACCAAAGAGTAATTGAACATTCTTCCCCTCTTCCCTACATACACGTGTCTCCTCTTTCTCCTTTTTGCACATGTGCATGTATCTTTGTCTTTCTCTCCCCCTCCTTTCTCTCTCTCCCTCTCTCTCTCCCCCCCTCTCTCCCCCCCCTCTCTTTCTCTCTCCCTCTCTCTCTCTCTCTCTCTCTCTTCCTCTCTCTTTCTCTCTCCCTCCTTTCTCTTTCCCTCCTTTCTCTCTCTCTCGCCCTCTCTTTCTCTCTCTCGCCCTCTCTGTCTCCCTCTCTCTCTCTTGCCCTCTCTCTCCCTCCCTCTCTCCCCCTCTTTCCCTACAGATTAAAGATTATGAGGCTGGTAGAGCTGAAGCCATTAGTTGTTTGTGTCACATTTTCTCTCAGCTCCCATGTGGAGAGGATGTACTACGCGTGTACCTCTCTCGTTTTTATCACTGTCTCTCAGTCTGTCTCACTTATGATTCACAAGTACACGATTTAAAAATAAATATCTGAACTAGAAACCCTCTTCCTCCTCCTCTCTCCCCAGGTATGCACAGGTCAGGTCTTAACTAGGACTATATTAGGCTCCGTCTCTTTGCTGAGGAAAGATTTGATTGGATTCAACATACTAATACCTCAGTACCTGAGCAGCATAGAGAATATACTCCCAGTACATGTCGATGAAGTTAAATTTAGGTATAATTATATATACATGTATAATGTTACAGTACTATTAAATGGTTGCGTTATGACTGTTTGAAAAATACGTTAAATTTTTTTAACATGCTGAGTGTGAACATCTGTTACTGGATCTACCAAATGTAGTGAATGGTTCACTATCTGGTGTCTAGCAACTCAAGGGTCCATTATTTATTTTTTTATCCTAATAATTTTAGCTCTCAAAACGACAATATTTTTACTAGACTTGGTATTACAGTCTGCATAGAATTTATTCTTGTGTTTATTTGCAGGTGTGATGTCCCTGTTAATAAATTGAGAAGGGCTTCAATTCAGATTCTACTATCAATGTTACCTCTCCCTCTCCACTATATACATCTTAAGATACCAGGTACCTCAAAAGAAGGGATAAAGAAAGGGGAGAGATTGAGAGATGACATTTCGTTCATTTTTTGTATTTTGTGTAGATTTGGTGACATTACTTGATTCTGTAAGGACTGTCCAATCTCTCTCTGATTCCGGTGATACCTTTTACTCGCTGAAGAACAGAGTAATCAAGCTCATGTTTGCTGCAATGGAAACAGAAAAAGATCCCGTGAACATGCAAATGCTGCTACACGGTAGGCTCTTGGTATTCTCGTTTCTCAGTCCTTTTGGCTCAATTTTTGAGCAACTTAAAAATTTGTAAAAAATCCAATCTTGATTAGAATCCACTCAAACTTGCTACACAACATAGTGTATCAGAAAAAAATATATAAATGAAAAATTCTTTCCTAGCTATTTATAACGAATTGCCCTGTACTACACGTATGTTCTTTTGGCCTGAAATGTATGCAAACATTAGATGCCCATAGTCTTTATACATGTATATCTTTTCTCTGTTTCTTAAGGTTTCAACATATTGATACATGACATATTCATATACGAGTCTTCAGTTTCAAAGATGATGTCAGGAGGAGGAGGAGGAGGAGAAGAGAAAGAAGATCAAGCTGATTGTGTTGGTGGTACTGAGAAACCATCGGATGGTAATCGATTTGATGTGTGTTTGTTTACTATTGACTTTAATGTGTGCGTCACAGTTATTACTGGATTACTAATCATATTGAATCTATGTTCTTCCTTTCTCTTCTGTCCCTTGTGACGACTGTTCTCACTTTATTTATTTATTATTGCTTCCTCCTCCTCTTTCTCTCCCCCTCCTTCTCTCCCCCCCCCCCTCCTTCTCTCCCCCTCTCCTTCTCTCCCCCTTTCTCCTCAGCTTTGTCTCTCAATACATTATTCCATCAGGCTTGTCTCTCGGCACATATGACTTATTTATATATGACTTTATTATTATGACTTTATTATTATGATATATATATGTACATGAACATCAACATATGACTTTATTTATTTATTATTACTTCCTCCTCCTCTTTCTCTCCCCCTCCTTCTCTCCCCCCTCTTCTTTCTCTCCCCCTTTCTCCTCAGCTTTGTCTCTCAATACATTATTCCATCAGGCTTGTCTCTCGGCACATTTTGCTCTACAGAACTGGAGTAATGATAACATTGTCACTTTAGCTGCTCTTGAGTTGCTCTCTGATCTAGCACGACTTCAATTTGATGCTTTATGTTAGCAAAGAGAGAGAGAGAGAGGGAGAAGGAGAGGGAGGGAGGGAGGGAGAGAGGGAGAGGGAGAGGGAGGGAAAGAGAGAGGGAGAGGGAGGGAGGGAGGGAGGGAGTTGGGGATTATTTATTTATCATTATTATCATTATTATTATTATTATCAGTGTTTGAGCTAGATGAACATAAAGATGAGTCCAATGACACCTTAAAATGTGCAATTTGACTGAAAATTGTAAAAAATTGTAAAAATCCATGGGAAAAATGTGAGTCTCCAGGGCAAAATGCGCGTCCATGGACCCAAAAAACTCATGCTAGCTCAAACACTTATTATTATTATTATTATTATTATTATTATTATTATTATTATTATTATTATTATTATTATTATTATTATTTCTGGTAGCTCATGTTGGTTGTCGTGATGCCGTCCAGTGGGTCTGCGAGTTCATTGAGTCTCAGTCCCAGCAGAAACCATTCCTCCAGACAAAGAGTCTCCACACGTCCATTGTTGCTGGTTTCATCACACTCATCATATGGATAATGGAGCACCCTCATCTTCTAGCCCATGAGGTAGGACACCCTCTCATACCAATGATGGCTAGACTCGTTCTCATTGCTCTAGTTTTGTTTGGCGTCAATTTTGAGAGTGACGGAGTTTGGGATTACTGGTACATTTTCAAAGGTGCGTGGTTTTTAGTTTGCTCATGGTAGCAATCATCATGTCATTGTTTCTGTTGGTTTTAGAGCGAGACTGGCGTCATTTTAAAAGGTAAAATGTAACTTTTTGTGTTAATTTTTAGAAGCAGTGGTGGAGGGAACTCAGGGAAGGAGTTTAAAAGAAGATAAATTTGTTGTTGTTTTTTTTTAAATAATAATGTAATATTTTGTGTGACGTGTGTGTGCGTGTATAGGTGACAAAGAGTTGAGACCAATATCTGGCAGAGTAGGAGAAATGGCCGAGTTTCTCCTCTACTGTATAATGGAAAAATTTGTAAGTTTTGTAGGAGCGATCAGTTGTAATTTTACTAAACCTTATTTCCATTTTTTATTAAATGTTGCATTTGCAATGTTATAATTTCTGCCTTTAAAACTAAGTGGGTTTTCTTCTCCACTATGCAGTGTAGTTTGGATTTACTATCCAAATTTGTAAGGTGGTTTCTCAGCTGGGCGCTGTGGCGTGTGCCTGTAACTGTAGCTACCTGCAGGGCTGAGGTCTGTGGATGGTTTGAGGTCGGGACTCCTGGGGGGTGCTGCTCTATGTTGAGCGGACGCCCGCACTAGGTTTGGCATCAATATGGGTATCGCGGAGGAGTCCGGTGATGTCCAGGTTGCATAATGAGAACCGTATCGGCCCAGGCCCTAGCGGGAGCAGGCAAAAGGTTCCGTGCTGAGCGGTAGTGGGATAACGTCTGTGAATAGGCTTCATTCACCAGCCCGGCCAATATTAATCAGACCAGATTTTTTTTGTTTTTTTTTTATTCTTCTAATAAAAGCTGATTTCTAGAAAAGTACTGTATGTATAGTGTTTTTTATTTTTATTTTGGCAGTTTTGCAAGTGGAATCCCCAATATTAAAACTGCTAGTCATTATTGTGCATGCTCAGTAATGCATGTGTACACAAAAAATCGCCAAATTAAAAACTGCCATTTACAAGTTTACCAAAATAAATCCCTCCCAAAAAACCACTATACGATATAACTTTAAAAAAAACGAAGTGTTGTCTGCTTTGCAATGGCTATGGAGCATGACAATGCACTCATTATTCATTAATGAGTGCATTGTCATGCATAGAGCTCTGCTTCATACAGAGCTCTATGGACCTATTGTGTAATCGCCCTCAAGCAATGCATGATGTTAAGGATATCCAGCACCAACAACAACAAACCTAATACTTGCACCTCTCCTCTGACCTGAACCTTGTTATAGTGCAAATACACGTCCTATTAACCCAGAGAGGGTACACAAACACACACACACAACCAACCAAAGATAGAATTATTCACACACATTTAATACACACATTGCAGACTTTCCTTTGTTCATAATTACAATGTACTGTCAGTCACAATAATGAGGATGTGTTGTACACATGTGTTGTCTGGTAATGTGTAATTATATTTATATTCAATGACATCAAAACGGTAATATTTAATACCTTTTTGTTGAAACACACACATACATGCTTTCTACATGCACACGCTTTGTGTGTACACATACCAAGTCACTCATACAAGCATGATTGCCTTTGGCATAAACGACATGACAAAGTGATCCTGTTTACTCTAAGATACCCTCTTTCATTATCTCCCCCTCTCTCTGTCTCCTCTCCCTTTTTAGGGCTCATTTCCTTCTCCATGTGGGCCGGCAGCTGGTGGCTCCCTCCTCACTGAAGAAGAACTCATAAAACAGCTAATAACAAACAATACCAAATCGCCACCAACAACAATAGTAAGTCGGTATTTCTTTGTAAGGAAGGATTGAAGCATAGCCTGTTTCATGTTATGATTATCACCAACACTACAATACTACCATCCTTGTTGATTACTGTTGCAATTGCTATTACCTTTCATAGCTTACTTACTATTGTGTAATAGGTTCCCTTTGCCTTATTCTCCTCTCTCCCCCTTTGTTCGGTTGTAATTATTATGTCTTCATATACATGTACATGAACTTGTCATGACCTCTGGCTAATGCCAAAATTTAATTTGCCTTTCCTTTTTTTAAGGGAACTGGGATCACTAAATGACACTAATCTGCTTCCATGTACTTGTCATGACCTCTGGCTACTGCCAGATTGAATATTTCTTTCCTTTTTTTAAGGGAACTGGGATCACTAAATGACACTAATCTGCTTCCATGTACTTGTCATGACCTCTAGATACTGCCAAATTGAACATTCCTTTCCTTATTTGAGGGAAATGGGATGACTATACTCCCAACTAGCTCTACTCTCCCACAGTCATTTCCCTCTTTTTATTTTCCCATGCCTCCTTCCCCCTCCTCTCTCTTATCTCCATGCATTGTTTGAGGGTAGACTTTATGTCTTAACAATTATTATTATTATTCTTTCTCATTCCCTTTCTTTCCCTTTCGCTTTACAGGCACTTATAGTTACTCAGTTTGTTTATCTTCTACTGTTGTCCGTCTGTCTGTCTCTCTTTCAATGAACTTTGTGTTATTTCACTTCTACCCTGTACTGGTAGAATAACAATAAGTCCAAAAGCCCTTGCATATCATTGACCTAATATCATTGACCTAGGACTCACCCTCTCTTTGTTCATTCTTCTTTTTCAATCTGTCTCAGCTAGGCAGCACTTAGTGCTCTTTTTAATATACTAATTAGTATGATCTCAGCCTCTCTCCCTGTTTATGCAAACATGAAAAATCTCTCATACAAGACCCTTACTCATTCCATTAGGGCCACTACGTGGCAACAAACATCCCATATTGGTCCTAAAATGGTCACTGCACATGTGTATATACACGCACGCATGGATGATAATGTATGTGTGTGTATATATTCATATATTTAAACAACACGCGTAATAATGTACATACCAGGACTGCATAATTCCATTATGTAGTGTTGGTATTGTACGGTATGCGTTAGTTCTGATTTCTAATAAAGTGAGCAAATTTTCTGAATCATTCTGACACTAAGCAAAACTTTCCTCACAAAAAAATCCTCATCGTAATGCATTCATCATAGTCAACGTTGACTGATCACAGAAATCTTATTGAAGCAATTATTAATAGTTTAGCTAAAGGAGACAAATCATTTCAAGGAATGGATGGTTACAGTAGTGCATTATAGCTGTAGCTTAAGCAGAATGGACTCCAACTTAGCATAAGGGCATCAAATAGTTTAGCTAAAGGAGGCAAATCATTTCAAGGAATGGCTGGTTACAATAGTGCATTATAGCTGTAGCTTAAGCAGAATGGACTCCAACTTAGCATAAGGGCATCATTATGTATAAGAACACGCTTTCTGAGCCAATTATCATTTGGAAAGGATATACTAATTATTATAGTTATTTGTTGTCAGAATTGATTCAAACTTTCTACATAAGGACATCAATGCATGCAACAAGAAACATCATTTAAAAAATATCTTTTATGGTATTCTGGACAAGATGACACCACAATAATTATTAATACATGGTTCGTGTCATAAATAATTTAAAATGTTTGAACGACTCTTGGCCTTATAAGGTTTGTTTTTCGGCGTAAGGAGTTGTTGTTGTTGTTCTTCAGTTGTTTTGTAAATTGGATCCTCCCCGTTTAGGAAACACTTTTATTTTTGCCTATCAATAGCGCCTCACTGTGTACTTATTAGGAGAAAAAGACCTTTATTTGTCAAATCGTGAGCATTTTTTTGGTTAACTGCTCAGTTGGTATTAATACCTTAGTTGCTTATGTAATTTGTAGTAAGAGGATGCCCTTTTATGGAATAAAGTGAGACCTGTTACTTCATTATTATGGCATGCTATAGTAAGAGTGAAAGAAAGAGTGAGAGAGAGAGGGAACACTCTAGAAATGTAGAAAGACAGGCAGACAGATGGGCATGAGACATAGTGTAAATTGTTTTTTTATTATCAGCATTGCTATGCGTACAAGTACTATTGTAGTTACCATTTACTATTACTCTGCCTGTTAGAAGCCAATGATAATCCAATCATAATTCAATTAGCTGATATAGTTTTTGTTGTAAGACTCGTAATTGGGTGTGTACAGGCTAACAATCTGATTACTACCATAAAACGGTATAGTTAATAGTATCAGTAATGCATGTATAAGAATTACATGTACATGTACACGTATTGCTACGGCTATTAATAATGTAATGTCAGTTCTGTTTCTCACGCCCCTCCTGATATAATAAAGTCTATAGTTCCATTCAAGCTAGCTATGCATAGGTACCTGTGATGTCATGTGATGTCACTGTATCTACCACAGTGCAGTGTACATGCCTTTAGGTTATAAATCATATTTTTATTTGTTCTCTCTCTCTTTTTTTCTTTAGCCAAAGTTTCGTTATTTCTTGATTGATAACTCATTGATATTGGGATTACTAGAAGGGTCATTCAGTGAAGAGGAAGGTAGTACTACAGAGTCACACACAGTGACCATACTGTAATGTATTGCGATTGTACTACATTGTTTTATGTACTATAAACTGCCTGTTGTAATGATGTCATTAGTCTTGTGTCAGTTTGTTTTATTAATATGAGTATATGACCTTTAGTTTCTTCCCCTTATCTCTCTTTCTCTGACCATTTGTTTGGTCATCCACTCACAGAATGTCATGCACTCACCTTTAGTATCTCTCTTACCCTCTTGTGAACTCTTGTATAATGTCCCCCTCTCTCCCTCTTTCTCAGGCACTCTTCCTACTGTCACTGGAGTAATTAGAGGTCCTTCAAGTAGACAAGTTTGGACTGTTCAGTTACGACATCATCCAAGAAGCCACAATGTGAGTCTATAGCATGTTTATTACAGTGCTTCCCTCATTTTCATTTAAGGGAATAGGCATAGTTTATATTTTAACCTTGTTACCTAGTATTTACCTGTACATGTATAAACACTGCATTTGCAGTAAGGGGGAGTACATGCTAATTGCCTACCTGCTTATACTCTCTCAGAGCATTCATGGAATTTCATTGATCATTCATTGATGTTGCATTGTTGCTAAACCCTCCCTTCCCTCCCCTCCCTTTCTAGTTCAATATTTGCAGTGATTCTGTATGTTATATGTGTCCTTGTGTTCATTTAATTATAATCTATTTATTTACCATCAGTTCTTGTGTACATTTAACTATGGAGCTTTTATAGCATGTATCATGAGTGTTACTTATTATTATTACTAAATACTAATATTTTATAATGCTGATATTTTATTTTTTTTAGCCTTCAACTTTGCATCTAAAAAGTCAGCCTCGTCCAACTCCTCTAGCCACTTCTCCTTCTTGTCCAAATTTGGTTCGCCCTCCTTGGCCGGACGGAGGAAAGATCAATGGATTGAAGTTGTACGTGAGATTAATAATGCAAGAGAAAGAGGGAGAGAAGGAGAGCTACGTGTACTTGTAAAATTGTAAACAAACATTTGTACTTGTATAATCTGTCTACCTAGCCATGTGTAATAATCAGGGCTTCCCACAAAGCATGCTAAGTGAGCTAACAGCATGAGCTTCATGAGCTGACAAGCACTACAATACAGTACATGGCATTTGGAGCAACTTTAAAAATTTGTAAAAAAAAAATCCAAATTTGATTGGAATCAGTCCAAAGTTGATGTACAACATTAGAACATGTATATGTATCAGAAAAAATTATAAAAATGTAGAATTCTCTCCTTTTCGATTTTGGCGAATTTTGGCCCGAGACCATGTACTATAGTACAGGGACTTTTACCTGATTTTAGAGTAACTTAAATAATTCAGGAAAAATCCAAATTTAATTGGAATCAGCTCAAAGTTGATACACAACATAAGAACATGTGTATGTATCAGGAAAAAAATTTTTAATGGAGATTTCTCTTTTTGTGATTTTGTCAAATTGCCCCTGTACTATAGTATAGGTTTTTGGCGAGATTTATAGCAACTTTGACAATCCACTGACAAAATGCTGCATGGCCACTATGATCCTGTCGTAAGCTCTGGTAATAATAATAAGGTTGATTACCTTTAGCAATAATATTGTAGCATAATAATAGTAAGGTTCATTACCTTTGGTAATGTACTACCAGATATGCAGCTGCCTTGATGAGTGACTGTAATTTGAATACTATGAACTATCAGGAACTGTACTTACCCCCTAAGAACATTATACCTCTATATTGGCTAGCGTATAGTGCAACTGTATATCCTATACTTTCAACTGTTCTATATTGCATGTGTGTGGGGGGGGGACGGTTCGAGTTATATTGTACTTACCCTGTTACAAATGCTTACTACTGAACTCAGTCCAATATGATATAATGATTATCATATGCGTGCTGTACATTTGTGTGGTATTGATGAGTAGATATCGTAGGAAAAATTAATAATAACAATGATTTAATATTATATTTAATAAATATTTCCTGTAAGGCATTTTCTTGCCTGTTTGTCCTCTATCTGATGTCATTGCTTTTCTAAACATTTTTGAAGTTTTGATTAACAAGCAACGGTGATTATACTTGTACTAGTTCGTAGGTCCATGTTCGTAGGATATGAAGTTGCAAATAGGTTGAAATGCTATGTAATGTAATCATATGTTGTAACATCCAGAGTCTATGTCATGATGTCATTAGCATGTGACTTTATAGATATCCTTTCATTATCATGCATGTGCATATGCATACCACTAATTATTCCTAAATATGATGTCACATTTTAGTATGAATTTATTTTGCTACAAGCCCTATGCTATTATAGCTTCTTTTATCTTTTCTCCCCTTGCATTTCCTCCCACACGGGCTCTTCCTCTTCACTACATCTCCTATACTGTTTGCTTATCGTGCATCTAATGCGTATTTATGTACAATTTGTACGTCCATGTATTATGATAATAATAAGAAGGAATTTAAGGAATTGATGGGGTGACCTTTACTATCATGAAGCAATTCATGTAGCTACCTGTGTGTAACGTGTACATGTACATCCTGAGAGAAGAGCTATTTTGTATGGTGATTGGGACATTACTAGATTGAGATTTCCTTATTATAGAGAAGAAGTCCTTGTTATATATATATATATATATATATAATTTTAAGAAATAAGGGAGGGAGAGGGGAAAAGGTCATAAGGAGAGAAGGAAAAAGAGAAAGAGTGATCCAGGCCTGAATTGAAAGAGGAAGAATTATATAATTATAATATTATCATCATGATCCAGCTATGAAGAGAGAGAGGGAGTGAGATAAGGTCATACTGAAGCAGAGAGAGAGAGGGATGGAGAAGGAGTGAGATAAGGTCATCATGGGAAAATTAAAAGTAATGGGGAGAGAGAAGTAAAAGCTAAGAGGTGAATAACAGTCAGGGGGCAGTTTATCATGCTATAATAATCACTGGATTATGGATGTGGGGTGACTGTGATTGACTAACACAATGAATGATATCACTTGAAAACAGATATCCATAACCTTTCTCTCACTCATTGTTATTTTAATCACACCATACGTATGACAATGGATATGTAGTTTATATTGAATGCATTATATATATGCTGTGCATTTGATTGTAGATCTGGTTCTATTCCTAATTTGGATGAAATTATTGATGAGTCTTCGAAACCACTACACAGAGAATTCAGTCAATTAACTAACAATCAGGTAGAAATGTATGATTGTTTTTTATATCTTTGTCTGGCTCCTCTTCTTTCCTTTAGATTGGAGTTGAGTCTAACATCCAGTCTCAATTGAAACGGTTCCAAGATCAAACTCCTTTCCCTAATCCTGCCAGAGCTTTAGAGCCACCAGAGTATGTCATACACTTGTGTAAAGTACTCTCTTTCTCTCTCCCTCTCTCTCTCTCTCCCCCTCTCTCTCTCTCCTTCTCTTTCTCCCTCTCTCTCCCCCCTCTCTCTCTCTCTCCTTCTCTTTCTCCCTCTCTCCCTCCTCTCTCTCTCTCAGAGTCAAGAAAAATTTAGACACAGCAAGACTATTCCTGAGTCATCTAGGACTCTTAAATATGGACCATCTACAGGTAATGACTCTCTTCTCTATGATCCAATACTTGTGCATATACTGCTATTGTGTGCGCATATACATGTATATATGTGTCTTTGCATACAATGGCATATCTTTATTATTACTATTGTATTATTATTATTATTGTTTCAATGAATGGCAGATGCTACTTGTGCATTTCGAAAACAAATTATGCCAATGCCCAGTTTACTCCTATGGGCATTAGAGCCGCTTATTATGACCATATAAGAGCATTAGCATCTTGAATGTATCACATTGTGTCCCTGCACTTTTCTTCTGTGTCTGTTTTGGTTTGCCAGGTTTAGTTGACAGACGCTAATTTTTGTTTTATATTGTAGAGAAGGTAATGGCCCAGGCCTTATCAGTCGTGCGCTAACTTTACTTATTATCTCACTCCTTTACTAACTCTCTCACACTATCACTCTTGTACCTGTCTTGTTGTTTATGATGATGATGCTTTCTATTTCATTTAGCATACAATATAGACACTGTACGTAATATACACTGGTGTGTGTGTTTATGCATCCAAGTATGTAAATGAGGTATGCACTTGTTGTGTTATTGCAGAGTTTTGAACAATCAAGAAAGCATGAGACTTGATGAGAGTTAGAAAAACATGTACATGTATGTGTACAGTCCATTTGTACATTGGCAAGTTTCACAGTATGCATTGCTGTATGTAATGGTATCTGCCTTTATTTGATGCTGTCTGGTAGACAGGGGTTTACGGTATCCACCAGACAGACAGTTGGCAAAATACATGCTTTCCTTTGTCATGGCAACTGCCTTTGTAGTGTGTACACACACTTATACATGCTTTGTTGTTGCCATGGAGATCACTAGGCTGAAACTAATGTATTTATACAGTCCAGGATGTGATATCACTACTGATAATAGCACCATCCTTCCTTTTTCCTAATATTTAATTTTATTAAGAGTCCTTAATTTATTATTTTTATGACAGCTACTGGAGTTTTGTCCTAAGGCAAGAAACTGTTTCCCTGTCCTTTTAAACAGAAACTGTACATGTACATGTATATGTATGTCATCTACACTGTCACTGTGACATCACATATATTGTAATTCACATCATTATGTGTCTCATGATGACTCTCATCACGTCCTGTCAATTCAAAATACATGCCGTATGACTCACTCTTAGTCATCATTGTGTCTAGCTCCTGCTGCTGATATATATAATGTAAATGTAGATTCCTAGAATTTTTCTTTCCCTCACTCTGTCTCTCACGCAATGTCTCAAATCACAGCACAACATCAATAGATCGGAGAAGCTTGAAATCACTCCAATTCCCATCAGTTTAATATTATGCAATGTGATAGTCCCATGCTTTCAGTCCCTTTTCCTTCCTCTCTCTCTCTCTCTTTTCTCAGGGTTTGCCTGGTCAACCGTCACTGAGCCTGCTTGATTCATCCTCTCTTAGTTTTAGGAGCTCCCTGGGGTCTTTGGACAGGATGCCCACGAGATACTGCGACACTGTATTTGTCATGTATTGCAGTAAAGGGCAAGCTAAACCGGAAGAGATATTGCGGACTCAGGTATAACGAGGGGAAGATTCTCATTACCATATGCTAATAGCTGTCTTATGTTAAAGAGTAATTGTGGTCATGTTAAGTTGTTGTCATGCATGATAAGTATGATATTTATGTACATGTACACATATCTTCCTCCCCCTCCTTTCTCTCTCTCTCCCCTCCCTTCCCCTAGCTCCCTCTTCAAAACAAATCTGGTGAGTATATACAGTTCCTTCATGGTTTGGGTTGGATTGTTGACCCGTTCAGGCACCCAGGATTCACTGGGAAGCTAAGACCAGAAACCTCCGAAGACGGTGGAAGTTCTCACGGGATCCTAAACGCTCAGATCCCTCTCCGACCCTTCCCATACTACGCCGACGCTATCACAGAGATTGCTTTTGTTACGCCCACTCACTACACATCAGCCAATGAGTCCGTGTCTAGCGTACGGAGTGTCGAATCCTCTGATTCTGGTCCAGACTCGAGTTCTGTCTCCGGTGACCCTCTCTCCCTCCCTCCCTCTTCCTTACTGGCCCCTCAGCCCCTCCCTTCCTGGTCCGCCCCCTCCGGTAGCGGAGTCAGTAAATCCCAAGTCACTGCCGGAGAGGGAGGAGGAGTCGGATTGTCCAGACCGATGCGTGCCTCTACTAGTCAGTCGTCTGCTGGTACGACCCTCACGGCCGAGTCTGCAGACACGCCCAGGAGGCGTGTACAGCCTCCGAGAGACTGTGCTGTTCTGGTCGTGTGGTTGGAGGTTTTTGAGGACCACCTGAGCTTCCCTCTTGTCCCAATGAGTAAGTTATTGTATCGTGTCGGTGGACCTGGTGGTAAGAGCGAGCCTTCACTACCAGTGCTGTTTATACATAAAATGAGATCTGGACTTTATCAAATATCAGCCAAAACTGGAAGGTAAGAGAAAGAGAGAGAGAGAGAGAGAGAGAGACAGAGAGACAGAGAGAGTGGGGGGAGGTAGAGAGAGAGAGAGAGAGATGAGGGGGAGAGAATGAGAAAATGAGAAGGAGTGGTAAAATAAAGGGTAAATAAGTCTATACATGGATTGGAAGGGATACATCTTGTAAATAAACTTAAAACTAAAATATTATGAATGGATCATTATGCTATAATATGCTTTGAAGTTCCCATCCTTGATAAACACCAAAGGAATGACTTAATGTCACTACCTTCCTTTATATTAAATTAATTTCTATCTCCCCCCTCTCTCTTTCACACACACACACACACACACACCTCTAGTTCTCCAGGTGGACCATTGATAGATGGTATGGTTGTCAGTAGTAGATGTCTTAGTACTTTAGTTCGTCAAACTGTCATTAACATTTGTGCTCGTCATCGAATGGAAAATGAAGGGTGAGAAAGAAAAGAAGGGAAAAGAGAGAGAGGGGTCATCTTTTTCTCTCTGTAGTTATTCTCCACCCCATATTAAGAGGAAAAGAAAAATAGAAGAAATGTCAGCACATTTCGGTCAGCGACTAACCCCGGCTGGTCTTTACTCGGAATTAATAACAACAACAACAGTTAACGTTGAATCATCATCTCAATAATAATAAATAATAGTAAATAATTATAATAGCAGTAGTAGTAGTAGTAAATAATAATAATTATTATTATAAATAATATTAAAGTTGTTGGTAATTTACTACAAACCAGTTTGGATCGAAGTGGTTCAGAAACCAGCTTAATTGTGTCCACACCTAACTGTGGTTAATAGATCTAATGCTACATTGCATACATAATACAGCTGCTTCACTTCAGTACTTAAACCGGTTTGATTATCTCAAGCCACCTACCTGAGGTGGTTTATTAGATAAGTCAGGTTTCAAACTGCATTGAAATTGTCCACATGTAAACTGGTTTACCAGTATTTCTAAACTGGTTTCAAACCGATTTGAGAGCATAGTGTGGGGCTATAGAGAGTTGTTTGTGTGGTTTTTGGAAAAAAGTACGGACTTTCGATTATAGATCTTCAATTTTTATTACATGGTGAATCTAAAATGTGGACTATTCATTAGTCTAAAATTGCCTCTGATGTATTGTAGTTGACTACATGGTAGCCATTTTTGCATGTTCATGCACACGTATAATTAATTTTGAATTTAAATTTGAAATACAAATAAAAGCTGGAGCAGATTGTAAAGAGGGGGAAAAAGAGAGAAAGGACGAATAAAAACCCTATCCTGTGACACAATGTCATTCACTCATTGTCACAACACCATTCAAATGACACATAATAGGGCTACCATATATGGTATAAGGGATTTCTCCCTTTCACTCATTTAGTATATATTATAAGAGGCGACTGAAGCGATCCAAGCACTGAATACACTTTATCTATTGGCTAGCAGATATCTATACAAAGTTTCTTTGTGTCCAACAATGTCTTACAGACTAGTATCCAGGGGTTGCGTTGACGACGAAGAAGAAAGACACGCTGCCATACCTGCCTCCTCTTACGGGCAGCAAGACAGTCCTAGCCGAGTCCACAGGGGACCAGGAGGTAAAGCAGGAGGGCCACGCATACCCCAGAAGAGACGTTTTGTTTCTGCTTCTGCCTCCGCTACTGTTCTTTATCCTATCCCTGGGAGTGGGTTCGTCCAGCAGGCGACTAATGCTAATGCCCCAGTTTCAGCTAAACACACTGCAGAAGAGACAAAATCTGACAGGTACGACTCGGGGCTTGGATCAGAGGTAGAAGAACTGAAGAGAAGGAGGCAGAAACTAGGAGCCTCGTCTTCTGCTCCACGTTTTCTCGCTCGTGGCTCTACAGAGAATGAATTCGAGGCAGAGGAGGAGGACATTATCGAGAGAGACAATCATTGCTCGACGGTTCTTCTCCCCGGAGCTAACACACAAATCCACCGAGCCAAATCATCGGGAGAATACCAAAGACTTGTAGCGACAGACTCTCCTCCTATTATGCCAAGCAAGAGTGCCCCAGCATTTCAAAGCTCTTCCTTTGAATCAAGAGAAGAAGAGCAACGTCACAGCTATTTGTCGTACGAGATGAGCATGGATGTCACTCCTTCTCCGAAATTTGATGCCCGCCAGTATCAGGAACACCTCCTGCAGTTGCAGCAAAGAGCTATCGAACAGGAAAGACTCCAAGAAGGACTGAGCCTCCTCCTGCCAAATGACGATGGAGACACGTAAGTATAGTTGCTGCATGATTTATGAATGTACAGTAATAATGTATTGCTTAGAATTAATAATTTAACCCTCTTTTTTGTCTTTCTGTAGTGGTTTGCATCAAGCTGTTATTCACAATCAGCCCAACATGATTTCAAGACTCTTGTCACTCATAAACAAGTATCCACAGTTGAGAAACAGTGTCGATGACCAAAACTCACTTTATCAGGTAATTACCCCTGCCCACCTCCCTCCTCGGTCACACATGCACATAACATGTCATGATGAAGTTTCTGTTTACTTTTACACCTTTTCATCACAACAATCTCCATTACTCACACTATTTGTTACAATAATAATAACAAAACACTTTCAAGCTACTACTATTACTATTACTACTCCTAATAATAATATTATTTTTTCTGTGTAGACTCCTCTTCACTTGGCATTACACCTCCAACAGAACGAAGCTGTCTCCCAGCTGCTGCAATCTGGTGCGTCTATACTCTTACAAGATCACAAAGGGAACACTCCTCTTCACATTGCTTGCTCGCAGGCCAACTCAAGATGTCTTCAAGAGATACTAAATAATGTGAGTCCCTCCGATATCGTGAGAGCCTCCGAAATCCGTAACTACGAAGGAATGACGTGCCTTCATTCGGCAGTTCTAAGCAAGAGCCAGGATGCACTCCTGAGGCTGGTCAAGGCTGGAGTTTACATTGATCTTGAGGTGAGGATATTTACCTTATTACCCTATTTGTGTAAAATATAATTTATTGAGACTGAGTGGGCTGATTGGGCTTAGACACTTGAGCCTAATTAGTTTATAAGTAAATACACCTGCTGCCCTATAGCTTTGGAGCCCTCCCTTTGTACTATACCATCTATAGATGTTACCTCATTGCCCCTTAGACTAAACCCTCTAGACTAACCACACGCCACCTGTGGTATCCCCCTTCCTTTCATACTGTATGTCTTCTTTATAAATTCACCTTCATATTGCATTACCCTCTCCTTCTCTCTCTCTTTTCTCAGGATCATCACTCTGGAAAGACGCCCCTTCATCTTGCCGTCGAGCAAGGCACGTTCCAAATAATTCAAACGCTCGTTCGTTCATGCAGTGCAGACTTTGACTCGGTGACATTCTCTGGTTGTACTCCTTTGCACTTTGCTGCTGGTCACGGGCGACTTGACATTGTTGCTTATCTCGTTTCACTTGGAGCCGACCCTCTAAGACTGACTGACGAAGGAGATAGTCCTTACGATCTAGCCAGAAATGAGAGTGTAAAAGACTTCCTTCACTCTGTGACTGACATTTACTACGAATGATCGAGGCAGCAATCGAACAATAAAAGAAATACTTTAAAGATGACAGGGGACAATTCTATTCATCTTCCTAGTTACAATTATAAATTACAGTTGGCTGATGAAGCATGTAATCGACACGAATGACAGCTGTGTAATAATTTTATGTCTCTGACTCCTTTAATGTGTACTTCTAATAGTAATAATAATAGTAATCCATTTGATTGATAGCTGAAGATTAGTTATATAGTATATGTATTCTTACTTACTTTTTTTAATTTACTCTGATTTTGCATATACTATCTTTGTAATTACTTTATTCTCATCTGAACTCCCCTCTCTCTCTCTGCTATACTGTCATTACTATTACTATTATTATTGTTATTGTGTTGTATCATATAACAGACAGTTCGTCTATTCTTTTACTCTCTCCCTTATCTTTCCTAAATAATTTTGTCTTTCCCATTTTCACTTTCAAATAAGAATATACTATGATATTGAACCTTATCTATTATATCCATCCATCGCCTCCCACCACATCTACCCGCCTTGCTTTGTTGTAATCTAAACAAGAATGCAGTGATTACACATCATGCTTTTACAAGGTTCAGTGGCATGTTATTGAAGAGCGTGTATAGCACACTCTCCATTGTACAAAGTGTACATAAATGCAGAGAGGAATAGTCCCCTAATATCTCCATCAATGCCACTAATGTTATTGTAGTGAGAATTATTTGGCAACAATCTCATAGTATAGATCATCTACTACTGTAGATCTACCTGTGAATTATAGTATTCATTCAGTAGTAGCGATGCCAGCTGTATAATTACATGTATGTGGCCTCTGCTTGATAACCTTCTACTAGTGGCTGCATGGTTTCTCTTTTTTGCTGTAACTTTATTTTGCTGTAAATTTATTTTGCCGTAACCTACTTTGCTGTAACTTTATTTTGCTGGTGTCAGTCATGTGGTTTACGCCTGCTTTGTCGAGCTTGTTCACACCTTTTTGAGCTGGTTCTTAAACTTCTCATCACTTTAAAATTCAAAATCACAACGGCCTATAATAATGAGTAGTGTTATGCTGACAATAAAAATAGTAACAGATGGTGTTGTTCAAAGCCCGTAGCTTAGCATCACAGCTAGCTGCCAAGCATGCGTTACTTGTAAATTTTCTATTCCACTAAACATCATCATTTTATATATAAATAATAACTTAATTATACATAGTTGGTCATTATAGTTGTTTTCAGTCTGGCCAGTACATAGATACCAATAGCAAGGTTAATCATTCGTAAAGGCTGCCGGTGAATGATCTCAAGTTTACAATAGCCTACTATATAGGGGGGATAGACCTTGGACCCTGCTGGCTCCTTTATTCAACTAAAATAAACTATTTAATTGATAATAGTACACTGTTCATTAATTATCTCACACTACACAATACTGTGGAGGATATGGGGCAGTCTAAATATGGGGGATGCTCCAGCTAGGCTAGCAGTTGTCTGTTCTTATGTAATATCAAAATTTCCTCAACCACTTCAAGCCCAACAGTTGTAAGACCCACACACACACTTTGCACTGTAGATTAGCTTTGAGAGTCTCAATTTCCTCATTTTATAATTGAATTATAATAACAATTATAGTGTTGATGTTATTATATAAAATAAGAGAGAGAGCGGAGGACAAAGAGTATCAATATGAACCTGCTTCTGGGGAAAATCACCTTTGAAAAGCTTCAAACTTTCACTACAGAAATTTGTGCAGTTTGAACTGACAATAAACATCAACTTTATCACTACACTAGCATCTCAAATTTTGGCTCGAGGCCATACCCTACGTAGTCTGATTGAGTCTGAGCCTATTGGGTTATGCATATGTAGTGTTACACTGGAAGAACATGTGTGAATACAGTTGGTGTAATAGAACATAAATTATAACCACTCAAGTCTGAGTGGTTATAATTTATGTTCTATTATGTTCAAAACTAAACATAATAATTACCAATGTCCATGGTGATCACTGAGCTCCATTACGTATTTGATTATTAAGAAAGAATATTCATTTGGCACTATGAATGCAAATATAGCTTCCATCCCAAAAATTGGCTCCACATTTTCACTGTAATCCAATGCCATGGGCATGACCACACGACCCTGACTCCCTGAGCAGCATGACATTAGGGACTATGGGCTTAGTCTGAAAGCTAATAATGTTATTCTAAAATCAATTAGTGTTTGTAGTGTTTGTAGTGTTAGTGAGTACAGTCTCAGGAGCAGCTGTTTTCTTAATCTGTTTGTCCACTTTCCCGCCACCCAGAAGCAATTCTTTGCTGATGATTGAGTAAGTGTAATCATCTGGATTCATTGGGTCAAAGAACAATGGAGACGTGTCGTCCTCTTTGTATCTGAGGGGAGATATTATAAGCAATTACTGCATCATAGTAATAGGAGAAAACAGAAAGAGGAAATAAGGAACAAAAAAGACATAAAGCAAGCATGCTACTCTACAAAGGAGATTCAAAGTCACATACATAATCAAAAAATAAGATGGGGAACTACTCACTAACACACACATTTATACACAGAGACAGAATGACATAATATATATGTATATCATAGTCAGGATATAAACTCATGCAGTTATAAATGTACACACTATAAAGTGTAAACTAAGACATCAAAAAGAGACACTAAGAGATAAAGTGGCTCGTAGACATGCACACATAAACACTAAAATACCCTCTGGCTGCGTATAGTCCTTTCTGTTTCCCTCATCTATAATCACCCTCCCTTCCTTTCTCTCTCTCTCTCTCTCTCTCTCTCTCTCTCTCTCTCTGCTTACCTTAATTTTTCACGAAAGAAATGATTTGATGCTAGATTGTCTATTAAAAGGAGAGAGAGAGAGAGAGGGAGAGACAGGAAGATAAAAGAATAAATAAAAGAGAGAGTGAGAGGGACAGGAAGATAAAAGAATGAATAAAAGAGAGTGAGAGAGACAGAAGGAGAAACTTAATTAATAAATTTAATTAATGATAGTTTACGTTAAAGGAATGTCGTGAATGCACTTAATTCAATTAATGGTGCTCACCCTTAAATACTGTCAGCACTATCTTTGTCATGTTCGCTTTATGTCCAATCAATTCTAGCAACTGCATCAAGAACTTACCAAGACCTTTTCTCCTTGCATCTACCGATAGCTGTATCTCATAGCTAGGGAAGAGAGAGAGATAGAGAGGGCGGGAGGCGACGGAAAGAAAAATTTGCGTAAGAAAGTGAAAGCAGCAAAAAAATAAATACTAAAATTAAATATAGAAAACAGTAAACATCTTAATGCACAGTATCGATAATGTTGTACATATGTTTATAAATGTACCAGATCCATAAAAGGATATTTTCAAATTCACAATAGATGAATATGATACAGGGCAGTACCCTAGAGTGACATGAGTAGGCTATCATGAGCTAAATACGGCATTGTTGTTGTTATTTTTTGTTGTTTATTGCCTTTGATCTCTGGCTTATTTACGTTTGTATGACTCTGCTGTACAACTTCAGTTTTACCACAGTGGCTTGATGTCAAGCCTTTGTGGTCACACAATCATTAAAGATCATCTCATACCCAAGGAATGATGTCAACACTGACCCACCACATATACATGACATGTACATGTGCTCATTACGTATACATGTACATGTGCTCATTATAGGTATACATGTACAATTGTACATATATGTACATGGATAGTGGACCTCTACAATATAATGTCCAAATTGGTACAACAATACTTCTGTAGGAGTACATTATTATGCATTGAGGACATACATGTATATAAAATTGTAGTGGGTATCAAGGAACTTCCTTTATTTTGTGCATATATGTACATTGTACATGTATTTGTTATGTATGTTAGTGTGGGAGGGAGGGTTGGTTACCAGTAAACAACATCAACATCATCATCCAGATCAAAACGTAGACTAACAAATCCCAATGGTTTCTCAGATATAGCATCACGGGCAATCAGATAACTGCACGAGTGGAAGAAAAATAGAATAATAATAGTAATAATAATAATAGTAATAATAATAATATTAATAATAATAATAATAATAATAATAATATCATCTATCACTAACCGAGATGACTCATGCGAAAGCTCTTCAAACTTTTCCCTATCTTTCCAACGAAAATCATTTGAGCGATATCTAATGTGTAGTAGGAGAGAGAGAGAGAGAGAGAAGAAAAATTGCACAATGTAAATTATATGATTTCCCCTCGAGCTTTAGTCATAATCAGAACTAATGAGATATTTGTAAATAAGCACATAAATATTGATATAATATTTCAATATACCCAGAATAATGGATTATGCCATAACAGGCCATAATTTCGTGCTCAAGTACATATATATTTACAAGGATAATTGGATGTACCCATAAATATGATTATTGCTATAATGAAATAACATACATAGGGAATGTTAGAGGTTACATTATTTATCATTATTATTATTATAACATATTCTATCTCTATCTCTGAGTCTCTCTCTCTCTCTTTCTCCCGAATTTTTCTTTCTCTCTGTCACATCCTTCAAGTTAATTCCCCTCATGGCTTACATTTCTTCCATGTTATCTTTCAGTAGCTGAAACATCCACTGAAGATCATCAGGACTGGTGTTGGCAGGACTCCCATAGCTAATCTTTGCATTTAAACTGCAACAAGACAAAATTATAAAGACAAAATAACCAAATGTAGATTGCTTTGAAATGTAATTTTCTTTTGGTATGAAACATATTGTTGGAATGCAAATCATCTTGTCTCTCTAGTTTCTTGTTTCAATTGACACTGAAAAATCCTTTGGAGAAGCATAATATATCCATAATGAGAATACAACTGCTAATAACTTAAATAACTATGCGGTATAATAACTTCCTCCATAACAATAAACAAAGGAAGACCATGTACCACAAGTAGTTGCTGAGTGTATGTCTGACTATGATCAGCATGTGCACACACAACAATTAAACCCCAGAACTATGAGTCTGTGATCCTCCACATGAAAGCATCCTGTACACATGCTTCGTAAAGGAATGGCATCCAAACAACTTAAACAAATTATCGGTCGACTTGGGAAGGATGAAAGGATGTCAAGTGTAGACTTTAAGGTGTTTGCTCACTGCCGGTGCTGCTCCATCTGTTGCTTATCCCATTCATTCAGTTCTGTTCCAGATCCTGTTTGACCCACTCATGAAATAAAACAAACGATCCACAAAATAAACATTTTCACTTCACCTAAATGCACAAACCTTGCAAATTCAGCCCTGCACTTTTTTATACGGACATTATGACACTTTATTTTGCTACTGAGCAAGTCTTTCATGTCAAAGCTCATGGTGCTAATTAGCCCAAGCCTTGCATGTACAGAAAGGAAAAGCAGCAGGGAAATGTCAAATGTTATCCCCAAGAAAAGAGGGCTGTTTCAAAAGAGCGCTGCTGCTACATCAGGGAGAAGGGTCTACAAGGTTTATCACATAGGATTTCTACTCAAAGCCCACAGCAATGTGAGAAAGGTTTAATTTTATTGTTTGTAAAAGCGCGGAGGGCAGAAAGAAGCTAACCTTGTTAAAAATCACAATGGAGGAACTGAAATTTCTAAACAGACACACTCATAGTACTGAGAGTAGAGTAAAGGGTGGAAGAGGGGGAAATGTACAGTCGACAAAACCTGATCATAGTTCCTTCCATTCACTATTATCTGTATTATCATGCACCTAGTACTCACAGAATACAACCCACTCTCTCCTCTCTTCTGCTAATGTCACTATTCATTACTATCTCTAGAGATCTTGCTGACCCGTGTCAACCTCATTTCCTTATTAACAAATATGAGTGACTGCTTCCCACTGCCTCATGATCAAGTCTCAATACAATTATTAGGGTTAATAAAAGGATATGTCACATAATTCTACAATTCAATAATAAGCTGATCTCATTTCCCTTATCATAATAACAAATTAACAATGCATGCACCACATACGTGAGCTAATTATTAAACACTGCACAATACAGCAGTGATCCTACTGTTTATAATATGCCTCATTTATTTACTTTCCCTATCTCCAATCATGCATAAACTACCATAAATAATTAAGCCTCAATTAACTTTCATTCCTTTCTCTTTGATTGCATGTACATATTTCAGTAACCTTTATTGGCAGTGTGTGCATATAATGGGCCAATCATATGTCTTTCCGTTCCTTATAGAAAGAAAGCGTGTTGTCATTTGATGTTTATATAAGTTTGTGTGTATATGCTCATTATTTCATATGCACTAGTGTTTAAACATACTTACTTATATAGCTACTCATTGAACTATATTGCATAGATTAGGAAAGAGATAACTTGTGCCTCAGTGTTTTGAAGCTGCTAAAGCATGTTTAACTTTCCCTTAACAGCAATTAGTGGAAATCCCCATATAGCCATTAACTGATAATAATCGCATTATAATAATAGCTTGATAATAGTGAGAGGCTGTTTGATGACAGCTGCTGCTTACTGTTATTCATTTGAAAATCATTACATTTAGCTGACCATTAACAGGCTAACATAACATCTTAATATTCCTTAATTTGTTTGTCCAACTCTTTCTCTCTGTGAATCAATACCCTCTCAGTAATCTCCTCTCTTTCCTCAATCCTCATTCTACTCTTAATTCCTCACCCATTTTGTGAGTAAGTCTTAAAAGGAGCAAAGTGTACCATATAATCCTCAACCTGTGGTAATGGTGTCGTTAGAATTTCTAATCACAATATTTTTTTACTTCGTTTGCAGACTTGATCTTTTTTAATAGCAAAGCAATTTCAGCTTGCTCCTAATTACAATGATGATTTAATGCGACTCGCCCATTTTTTGTAATTTTTGTTTGTTACTTGTTTCCTCTTAAGTTTCTTCTCTTTGGCTTTGCTCAGTTTTTTCTAATTTTAAAGGGGCAGTCCTCTATAGTAAACAACAATAATAAAGTACTTGTGTTTGCTTTGGTGGCATATTCGCTTTCACTTTGATTACAATTCCTAAAAGGAAGCCATCTTTTTCTTTAAGCGCATGCACAATAAGTCTCTGCATCGTATACTTTAGTATAAGAGAAATACTAATTTCCGTATACTTTAATAATTACTGACCAATCAAGTTTTAGAGATCACGTGTAGTAGGCTGCAAGGGCGCGGTTAAGTCCAGCTGATAAAATCATGGCTGCAGAGCAGCAAGTACCCGAAGCAAGCAGAGACCATTATACACAGCCTCTAGATAATGCCAGCCTTTCTCTTATACCTGCGAGTTCTTTCTTTCCGTTGTCCTCTTGCTCTCAACAGGTTGACAGTGCTCACCTGCAGAAGGGACCGCCAGAGGGAAGGAGATTAGAAGACCTACCTTTCACACAGCCCGTTGTTAAAGTATCTGGGATCTTTTCAGCAATTGGCCACGAGGAAGGAAAGGAAGACCTGCTTTCCTTAGAATCAGAAGACGAAGAAATGATAAACTGTGAGCTCTTGCTTGGACAAGAGGATGAGACCGTCTTGGAAGAAGGAGACGTGAGAGAGGAGAGAGCTGGAAATGAGTCACTGGAAAGCAAAAATAAAAATCGAGAGAATGAGCAGCAGATTGAGGACAAGCAGGTCAAGAACGAAGTTGATGCATTGGAGACTGAAATTCAGCTCATTGGGAATGAGTATGAGGATAATCATGATGGGAATGAGAATGAGCAGAATGGGAATGAGGACGAGCAGAATGGGAATGAGGATGAGCAGAATCAAAATGAGGACGAGCAGAATCAAAATGAGGACGAGCAGAATCAAAATGAGGACGAGCAGAATGGGATTGAGAACGAGCAGAATGGGATTGAAGACGAGCAGAATGGGATTGAGGACAAGCAGAATGGGAACGAGGACAAGCAGAATGGGAATGAGAATGGAATTAATTGTAATGAACAGCTACCTCAAAACGAAGACGACCGTCAGTCTGAAACACTTCAGTACCAGAATGAGAATACAGGGAATGAGAAAGAGATTGTGCAGCAGAATGAGAAGGAAGGAGATGCCCATCGTGAGATTGAGCAAGAGGATAATTCTAAACCCCATGATATATCAAGTCTAACTCTGGATACCCTCACCTCCTCTCCACTGGCACTGTTAGCAACATCAAATAATAATGACTTGTCTCTTTTTTCATTTGATCATCCGATAGCTCCATTGAGCAAAGCACAGCTCTTGTGCACGCTAAATAAAGACACGAGTAGCAGGATTGAATGTCTGCAGTCTCTCTCATTCTCAACTCCTCCACGATGGAAATGTGACACTGATAATAGTCCACCTCAAAAGAGGCCGAAAATATCGCATGCACATTCCCCTCTTCTCCCAACAGTAGAGGAAGAGGTAGTAGTAGATGATGGAAAGGCAACTTTGTTGCAAGCTTTACCCAGCCAAGGAGCAAGAGAGAGTATAGAAGGTATCTCAAGTGCTGCCCATTGCTCTCTGCATGAAGACAATGTTAATGATAATGATGATGAGGATTCAACCGCTTGCTTTGTTGTTCCTGATGAGCCTTTGCTTTTAGCAGATGATGAAGATAACATTACGTTTCATTCTGACAATGTTAAAAGCTATAGTGACGTTGCAACTATGACAGCAAGTGAGGAGCTTCCTAAAAGAAGACTGGCGCCATCTCCTCTGATGACAAAATCAGTTCTTAAGAGAGGTAAGAAAAAATTTTTTCATCTCAAATAGGCATGGGTCAGTGTTTAGTTGATGCATATTCATGTACTAATGCTACATAGAAAGTTTGAGCTGATTCCAATCAAAATTTAATTTTTTACGAATTTTTAAAGTTACTCAAAAATTGGGCCAAAGTTCCTGTACTATGGTACACGGTCTCGCACCAAATCTTGGCAAAATTGAAAAAGAGAGAATCCTTTGTTTTTATATTTTTTCTGATGCACATACATGTACTTATGTTGTGCAGCTGATCATAGAACCAATTTACATAATAAAATTGATATATTTTTTATTCTCATAGGTTTTCTTTCTGATCTGATAGAGCCATGTCAGTTCAATTTATCAAAACCCAAACTGAGGCTAGGCCTCTCAAAAAGAAGCAAATGTACAAATTAGCAACTCAACTATTATAAAACAATAAATACCATTATAATGTATAATATAATCATATGTATATATAATCACAATGATGCCTATTTAAATATGATTACATTTGAACTAAAATAAATTCAAAAAGGTTGGCAAGAGAGACAATGATTGTCTTCATTACCACACATTGTTCTCCATTTTTCTCTGTTCCTGCTTGGATGCCTCACTCCTTTGTCATCTTTCAATCCTACCATCTTGTACTCGCCTGTAACTGGCCTTGATCTGTAAAGAGAGAGAGAGAGGTGGAAGGAATTTAGAAAAATATGTCATATACTGTTTAAAATGAAGTCTATACATGGCCGTTTGCATTTCCTTCTCCCAAAGAGAGTCACGAAGAGCAGGATGAACAGAAGCGCATGACAAACTATCACTTTTATACGTCCAATTTTCTCTATTTTGAGACTAAGAAAAAAAGAGAGATCTTAATTTTTTGCACACATTAAATTATTTTTATACTTTCTCCCAGCAAAGGTTATGGCTATCGCTAGATGTGATAAAGTTTCCTGGAGAGAATATCACGAGAGTCTCCCCAAAGTAAGCATGGCCCTGCACGTGTTGTGGGTGATAGCCAATGATGGCAGACACAGACTCGATGTCTGACAAATGTCTAGCAATGTAGAGTGAAGTCTCATCAGGATGAAAAGTCTGCTCTCTTCCCCAATGCAGCATAACTAGTATATGATCGACTCTACGCTGTGTGGAAGTGTATACATTAAAAATCAATAAGATCTGGAGCTATAGCCCACATAACCAAGCATCAACTGTTATTGTAGCTCTTACTTCTTTGAGTTTTGCTATGCTCTCTCTTGCAGATTTCACGAAATATTTAGTAGGAGAGAAAGGAGACTCAATAGGGCCCAAGCAGTGGCCATGCACTCCACAAAAAGCTATCACTCCAATTCTAACACCGCCCAAATTGAGCACATCGTAATGTCTAGCATTGAGGCCAACCCAACCAATCTCTGCCTTCTCAAGGTGGTGCATATTTATTTGTAAGGAGCCAGTCTCTCCGAGATACTGTGAGTGCTGGTGGGATAGTGATACTAGAGAGAGCCCTAATGCACTGAAATACCTAATATAATTGGATCAAAAATAATATTAATAAATTTTTGTAGGTGAAAGAAATGGAACTGACTGAAACTTATAAAGTTACATAAATATAATATTATATACTAATAAAGTGTAATAAAATTTAAAAAGGGCATCATTTTATAATACTCACTCTAATATTCTTGTGAGTCTTAGGACATCTTCTTCATCACTAACGTCCCTTGGAGGAATAAAACTGGATAATATGTTAGCATTCAGCTCCTCTGCACCACCATTAGGCAATGCTACACGACTATCTGAGGTAGGTAGCAAATCGTTTATTGCAACGTTGTCACATAGAAATGCAGTGAATTGATCCAGTAGCATGCTACTGCTAACATTCAGATTTATCTCTCCAATTACTGTTAGTACACTAGCTTCTGGAGAGGGAAAAGGGCCACCTATTGAAGTAGATTATGTAAAACATTAGATCTATAACAAGGTACATAATATTATGCACATTAGGTACACATTATGCTGCAGTGTTAATGTGCAATTGTGCATGCACCATGTAATCCTGCAGGAGGACATTGGCTGAAGAGACGAGGTATGTCAGAGGGCAACTCTTTTTTAAACCATTCAAAAACTAAATGAGATTTATAGTTAAAGTATGCAGTAACTAGTGTCTTTAACCTACCCTCTTTCTGTTTTTGAAGGGGTGGGTCTGCTGCTGTTGCAGGCTCAGCTCTTGCAAAAGAAGGATGATTGAAGTCTCCCTCATCTAAATTATCTCCCTTAACTACCAAAGATAGCTCACAGGTTCCTCCAATGTAATTGCTAGCGAGCCAGAGGGAGAGAGAAAAGAGGAGAAGAGCATAAGTTAATTTAGTGATTGATAAAAACATTAAGATTTTTTATAACTATTAATAAATGTAGATGGGCGTGTCCCCCAATATGGGACACGCCCCCTAGTAAAGAGGAGGGAAGAAAAAATGTCAGTAACAGTAGTTCTTGGAGGGCAATGGGGAGACGAGGGAAAAGGAAAACTGGTTGACCTCTTGGCTGAAAAAGTAGACTATGTCTGCCGCTGTCAGGTAAGCTGCTATTTGATAGCGTGAGCAATTAAAGAGCAACGGGAATATTGAATCTGTAGGGCGGCAATAATGCTGGGCACACAGTTATAGCTGGTGGGACTGCGTACGATTTCCACTTATTACCAAGGTAATTAATACCCTCTGCTGATAAATACAGAGCTATGTTAATTGATCATTGCAATCACTTTGAAGGTGTTACAATTAAATTTAATATTTTATTTTTTATTTTTATAATTATTTTAGTGGTATAATTAACGAGACTTGTACGTCTGTCATGGGTAAGTAAGTGATTCAAAATATCATGAAAAGTTTTAATTTCTGACTCTCCTTGCTTCCATTTATGCCATTCTTTAGGTAATGGTATGGTCATTCATCTTCCCGGCCTATTTGATGAGATTCAAAAGAACGTGGCTAAAGGTTTAAAAGGTTGGGAGGAGAGACTAAAGGTATCAGATAGAGCACACATTGGTCAGTGAAGCCTTTCATTATATTACAGCACATCCATGTCCCTTCCTTTCTTCTCCTTATTTTCAGTTTTTGACTTTCATCAAAAGATCGATCAATTGATAGAGAAGGAGAAAGCCATTGGGACAACTAAGAAAGGGATAGGACCAACGTATGCTGCAAAGGTAGTACTTTAATGAGAGCAGACTGATTAAGTTAATTTATAATGTATGTCTATCATTTCTTTCTCCCTCCTCTCACTCATTGATAAAGAGTACAAGATCAGGTCTAAGGATCTGTGATTTGTTTACTGAGCCAGCTGTTCTAAGAGAAAAGTAATCAAGATTAGTTATTATCTCCTGCCTTTATAAATTACCCCTACATGTACATGTACTGGTACATGTGCATCCCTCTCTCTCCCTTTATCCTCCTCTCTTATTTGCACAGGCTAGAGAATCTGCTATCAGGATATTTTATAAGGTACTGAAAGTCAAAATAAATAAATAATAATATTTTGGTAATTTTGTTTATCAGATTTCCAACTCTCGAAGTTAACATTGATGAGGAAATAAAGAAGTGTGAGGTAGTAATTATATCTGAATCTACATGTACAGTACATGTACATGTACAAAATGTACATGGTTACAGATTCATAATGTGTAGGAGTATAAAGAGAAGTTACGCCCACTGGTCTGTGATACAATCCAGCTGGTAAACAAAGCAGTGAGTGACGGTAAGAGTGTACTAGTCGAAGGAGCCAATGCAGTAATGCTGGACATTGATTTTGGTAAATAATAATAAGCTATGTGTAGCTTTTGAACTGTCTTTCTCCTTCAGGCACATATCCTTATGTAACCTCTTCAAACTGTACTGCTGGTGTAGTCTGTACCGGACTAGGTATTCCCCCAAGGCGTATTGATAGAGTCTATGGAGTTTTCAAAGCCTACACTACACGAGTGGGGGGAGGAGCTTTTCCCACAGAACAGAAAAATGTATGCATGGGATATACTGAGATATACTGAGATATACTGGGATATACTGGGATATACTGTACTGATTTTTAGGAGATTGGTGATAAGATACAATCGATCGGGAAGGAAAGGGGCGTGACTACTGGTCGCAAGAGGAGGTGTGGCTGGTTCGACGTGATGGTGGCAAAATACAGCAACACCATCAATGGATATGAAAGCATTGCTCTTACTAAAATTGATATATTTGACACGTTTAAAGAGCTTAAAATAGGCGTGGCTTATAATCTAGATGGGAAGAAATTGGATTCTATGCCAGGTGAGCGATTAAAAGAGATCTTTCTTTAGTCCATACATGTACATGTACATGTACATGGGGTAATAGTAGTGCTACGCATGTAGTACATGTGCATATGTAATGGTAATAATTGATAATAAGAGAATCTATTGTAATCGTAATGCATGGTACATGTACATGTGTTCATCAAAGATTTTTCATTAAATTTTCTGATACATATTGATGTCCTTATGCTACATGTACATGTATGTAGAAAGTTTGAGCTGATTCCGACTAAAATTTTTCGAGTTACGACCATTTTTAAAAACAGGCCAATTTCTGAAAAAAGCCCCTGTACTATAGCCCATGGTTTTTTCAGAAAAATGGCTCCGAAATAACCCCCAATTTTTATGACATTTTTTGATACATATTGATGTCCTTATGCTGTGTAGAAAGTTTAAGCTGATTCCGACTAAAATTTTTCGAGTTACGACCTTTTTTAAAAACAGGCCAATTTCTGAAAAAAGTCCCTGTACTATAGCCCATGGTTTTTTCCAAAAAATGGCTCCGAAATAACCCCCAATTTTTATGACATTTTTTGATGCATATTGATGTCCTTATGCTATGTAGAAAGTTTGAGGTGATTCAGGCTAAAGTTTTTCAAGTTATGGTCATTTTTTAAAATGGGCCATTTTCTGAAAATTTTCCTGTACTATAGCCCATGCTTTTAAAAAAATTGGCTAATGTCCTTATGCTATGTAGAAAATTTGAGCTGTTTCAGAGCAGTATTCTTTGAGTTACGAGCATTTAAAAAACAAGCCAATTATTTTAAAGCAAAGGCTATAGCCCATTTTTTCAAAATTGGATTTTTATGATTAAAAAAATTTACTCCAAAATTTGCTGTACTATTATGGTAATGGTTTTTTGTCAAAAAGGCTAGGACAGAATTCCTTATTTTTATAATTTTTTTAGATGTACTGTACATGTACATGTACTACATACACATAATTATTTTTTATGTTGTATAGAATGAGCTGATTCCAACCAAAATTACATGTACATACATGTACATATACATGTATGTACATTTACATGTACATGTTTATACAGTATTATTAATAGTGCATGTTTCTTTTACTGTAATTACTTGCTAATCTAATCATTGTTCGTTCCCTCCAGCTGAACAGAGTCAGTTAGAACGTGTTGAAGTTGACTATGTTACATTACCTGGCTGGGCACCAGAGGTACAATCTACAATATTTATTGATACTACATGTACATCTACATGTATTATTATTCATTTTGTTTATTTTGTTGTTGTACATGTACGTGTAGGTAACAGCAGGTGTTACTAATTATGACCAATTGCCTATAAACGCACGAAACTACATTGAAAAAATTGAAGAACTGATTGAAGTTAAAGGCAAGAACATTATTGTGTATCAATCCACATGTATTACTGTATCTCTCTCCTCTTTTAATTAGTTGAGTGGGTGGGTACTGGCCCTAATAGAGAGCACATCATACATCGATCATAAAACCTTTAGAGTCTCATTATCAGTATTTATTAGTTTTTATCTTTTCGTAGCTACGAGATTGCAGAGTATAAAATGTCTATTGTATTAATTATTATTGCTTGTAGATTTAATTACGGGTTTAACAAAGAACAACAACAACAACAATAATAATAATTATAATTATAATTAATAATTATATAGGATTAAATATGAAACGACACGCATGACATATATCTATAACGTCTATAGCACTCTTTGCTTGCAGAAGTGGGCTTGTCTTATAAAGGGATTTAATAAAGCTGCTAGTTAACTTCAGGCTCAGCGTCTATCGACTTTTTAAGGTGGAGGAGGATGGCGGTCAACCATGCATCAAGACGAGAGATAGAATCATACTCTGCTACCTATTAGGAGAGAGAGAGAGAGAGAGATTAATGATAAAAGAGCTAAAGCAAGGACATACGTGCTCAGCAAATTTGTCAGTATCTTCATCCAGTACGGCTTCCAAGAGATTCTAATAATGTTTGTGTAGTGTTGTTTGTGTTTGTGTAGAGAAAGAGAGAGAGAGGGGGATGGAGTACATGTTGTTTGTTCTTTCCTAACCTCTATCAGTTTCAGTTCCCTAGTGCCATCAAAAGCTGGATGGATTGCTTTATATTCATCAATCTTTCTCTATTGTACAAATTAGTATAATGACACACTCTCTCTCTCCCAATTCTTCCTTACTTGGACAGAGTCCCTATCAAGACAGAACCAGCACAGCAATGCCTTGAAGAAATAGTCTTTAGCAGAATATTTTAATAGGCCATTGTCAAGGCAGCCTTTACCAATCTTGAGAGAGAAATAGTGAAGGTTATATGTGTACATGTATTGGCAGTAAGAGATGAAGGGTTTATAGTAATGAAAGTACCTCATCAAAAAGTTCTGCTGCTTTCTGGAAATTCTGTGAAGTAGCACACATATGAGCCACCTTGAGCAAACACTTGTTTGCAGAGCTAGAAAAAAAAAGCGAGTAACATTGAGATTTAACATAAATACTTTCTTACGCATTGGAGTCCTCTCCTCTGTAGTAGTCAGCAGCTCGCTCGTAGTAAACTATTGACTAGATACAGAATAAGTAAAATAGTGGAGTACATGCACATAGTTATACATAAATGTATAAATGTGTGAGTAAAATTAAAATATCTTAACGAATAATTTGATTAATGAGACACGAAGGAAAGACAGTGTGTGTGTGTGTGTGTGTGTGTGTAAAGTGAGAATACTTTATCATAATGTGTTTGCTCCTCTTCAATCTCTGCCATATTCATGTAGTATCTTGCAGCAAGTCCAAAACGACCCTTGACAAGAGAAACAAAACATTAATCAAAAAACAAGAATGCCTCCCTCTACTGTTATCATTAATAATAATAGTTAGTATTAGTTACCATGTCAGAATAAATATCGACAGACAGCTGGTAGCACTCAATGGCCTCTACAAAAAAGAATGATAATAAATGATAGTGATGATGGCATTTGAATGATAAACAATGATGACATCACTTACTGTCAGGTTTGACTTTCTTGTACACTTGAGCAGCTTCAGAGTAGCTATTAGCCGCCTCGTGACGCGAATCAAGCTTATCAATGTGAAGCTGAGCAGCTGCTACAAAAGCATCACCGGACCCTAAGAAAAGAAAGAGGGGAATTATAATAATAATAATAATAGGTCATACCGGCCACGCCCATATTTTAAACCGTACTTTCAAAAGATTTTGCCACTTTAAATTGATTGGCTGCTCTTGTGTAAAGGTCAGCTGCATCTTCCAGTTTTGACGCACCACTACAAAATATACACAGCCCCCCCCCTCTACATAATATTGATAGTATGATTGCTTGTCCTTACCCAAACATTTTCCCCATAAAAGTGGAGGCAGACTGGACTTTCTTCTCTGCCTGTTCCATGAAAGCTGCCGCCTTTTTCTCTTGTTCTGAGATAGGCGTGTGAGCCTGGGGAGAAGGGACTGTGCTTTCTTCTGGGGCCGTTGTAGCCGGTTCTGGATTTTCAGCCATTTTAATTTTAAAGGTCAAACCACGACCCTAAATGGGCGTAATATGTTTTATCAGCTCCTCCCACTAACTGCTCTGCAAAAAATGGCCAAGGCTGGTAACTTCAATTGTAGTCCATTGGCTGATCTTACGAATGCATCTTGTCCGGAGGATTATAATTTCTGTAGGGAGTTTGAGCATGTCCCTGCTGTCTACCTATCAATCAGTATTGTCTCTTTCTCTTGCTGTTGTCTGGTTTTTCTCACATATATTCTCATTAAGAGGCTGTGGGGCTACTCATCTAGAGTATTCTTATTAAGGTATGCACGTATTAGATCCATATATTATTTTCATTTTTACACCTCTCCTATCCCACACACACTCAGAACGTCTCTCGATTTTCTAATATCGATATGTCACATAATACTTTTTGGTGCAGAGGGAAACAAAAATGCTTGTTTAGCTTTTGGTTTGATATTTCAGTTCTCACTTATAGCGGCGAATCTTTGGTACGCTCTTTTGGCATATGATCTCATCAGAGCTATACGAAACCCTTTTGGGTAAGTAGTCTGTTTTTTCTAATTAATGAGCACTTGTATGTATATGTAGGCTAGGGTCACATCATGGTTGGAAGTCACATTTGTTCATTTGGTCAGTTTCTTTGTTAGGAGCAGTTATACTGGGACTATCAGCCATTGGAGAAATGAGAGTGGGACCAGGTTAGTCTCTCTCTCTCTCTCTCTCTCTCTCTCTCTCCCCCTCTCTCTCTCTCTCTTTCCCCCTCTCTCCCCCTCTCTCCTTCTCTCTCTCCCTCTCTCTCCCCCCCTCTCTCTCTCTCTTTCTCTTTCTCTTGTATCCATTTGTTATTATTATTATATTTCATTTCTTTTTAAAGGGGCATCAATGTTTTTCTTTTGTTGGATATCAGTTGATGAAACAGTCTCAAAGTTTGCTGTCACTTCACTATTCCTCTATTACCTTCCACATTTTATCCTCTGGATTTTTTCGCTAGTCGTCAATCTTGTAGCTCTTTGCATCCTCTTCGGTAAATTCCCCGCAAGCAGCGAAACGAGACGACATATAATAAAACAAAATACGCTCTATGTGTTATTCCTTGGTATTGAAACCATCTTAATCATACCGTTGTGGATCACACAATTAAGTATTAGCTCGTCTTCTCACTATAACCAAGATCGCATGTGTTTTGCCGACCATGGCAGCTTAATACTAGCTTTTATCTTCGCCGTCATACACAGTTCGAGGGGCGCCGTTGACCTTTTTGTTTGGTGGGTGACCTTTTCGATCGGCCCCAAAGACTTTAAGAACATTTTTTTGAGGTACAAGGCATGGCGCTATAGAAACCTTTATCTGCCCCAGGACAACCTCCATACTCCACTGGTTGGGTTGGAACAGAGCAGAATCAACACTATACTCCGTAAAGATGTCATATTCTGTATCAACTATGGGATCCTCGATGCAGTGAAACTCAATTCGGAGGAGGAGAACCAGCGGACCCACCTTGGATCCGTCCGTGATCCGTTCATGGCACACGTGATGGTAAAGTGGGACGAGGAGGTTCACGAGGAGGAGACCAAGAGCAAATACTCTGATCCGAAGTACCAGGAGGTTCACAAAAGACGGATTCCCTTCCGTCCCTCAAACACACTCAAGGATTTTGCCTTTATCGATATTGAGCCGACAGTTTTTGGCCTACTGCGTCATTCCTATGGAGTCAGCCCAGCCGAGTACCAGCAGTCATTCCATATTCGTGACGATCAGGACGTGGAGAGCAGTGGGATGCTAGAGAAATTCACCGAAGGGAAGAGTGGTAGTTTCTTTTACTTTACTCGCGATTACAAATACATTATTAAGACCGTGACGTCTGAAGAGGAGGCATTCCTTCAGAAGATTGCATTTCGTTATTATGATTACATGCATAATAATCCGGACAGTGTCATCGTGAGGCTCTATGGTCTTCACAAGGTCCGACTGGCTAGTGAACAACGGTACATTAGTGTCGTTGTTATGGAGAACTTATTCCACAACAATGAGAACCTTAAGATGAACGAACGCTACGACCTGAAGGGCTCTCGTATCGGGCGTAGGGTACTCAAGGGTAACGAGAAGAAGGAAGAACGTTTCAAGAAGACTCTGAAAGATCTCGATCTTCAGAAACCAATCGTGATAGGACCTGAAGCGAAGGCACAGCTACTGGAACAGCTCCAACGTGACATTGACTTCCTTTCTTCTCTCCATATCATGGACTACAGTATGCTACTCGGGATCCATCATCACTCAAAAGAGACCCGCCAAAGATTCCAGCACTCGCTACCAGTCGAATTTGCTGACGGCGACGACTTTACTCAAGTCACTTTTGGAGGAGGAGGAGGGGCAGAAGAGATACCTCTCATATCCTCACTTAGCTCTTCTCCAAAGAGTACACTGGAAAGAGGAGCAGCTCTAGCTAACAGAAGACCGACTCTTGATTCAGTCTACGACGACAATATTGAGGACTCCACTAATGAGGGACAGCGACCAAGGTCTCACCATGTACCATGGTATCGTCGAGACTATGGTGGCCTCCGCTCATTTAGTCCTAATCACCCGCTTAACGGTAACCTAGTGACGTCGCATGGGTCCATCGTGCTCCCTGATGAGGCTCCGTATGAAGTATTCAGCATAGAGGATCTACCCACCGACACGTATTATTTTGGTATTGTGGACATTCTCCAGGTTTATAATTTTGACAAGAAAATTGAGAATTTCACAAAAACAAGGATACTCTGCAAAGACGGCGAGGGTATCTCGGCCGTGGATGAGAAGAAATACGGGCAGAGATTCATGGACGCCATGGATCGTATTTTTATATAGAAATTAAAATAGTAATAATGAATAAAAACGATTTATTATGTGTGAGTGTGTGTCGATTTTTTGTGTGCTTTGAGTGTACTCTATTGATAATAGAAATTATTGAAACCTGTCTTTTGGATTGTTTGTCAACAGTCTTTTCCTCTCATGTAAACTTGGTAGAGAAAGCTCTCTATAATCGCGTCGCCTTGGCAACTCGCTATAATTGTTATGACGGCCATAGCTTTCTATTTCATTCTCTTCTCCAGTCTTTATCCTTTCCACAGCTACTGGTCTGTATCGGCCTCTCTGGTCTCCTCGAGCGAGATACAGTTCTGTCAAAGGCAGAGCGCTTCTTATGACCCGATATTATCCAACGGAGAAGCGTGCAGTAAAAAGTTTCTGGTTGCTCTAGCAGTTAGGAATGGACAGGTAAAGCATTATATCACGTCTTGTCTTGGAGCTCCCTGGTACCAGCTTGCTTGTCTTGTTTATGCTCCTGTAGCTTTAATTTGTGTGGATTTATAATACTTTAAATAATATTAAGTTTCATGCAGGGAGAGTCTGGCAGTATCTATGCTGATATAAAACATGTTAATAACAGAACCAGGTCTGGGAGCACATTGAAAAGAGAGCAGTTGAGGAAACCGATACGTATCACTGTAACCAAATCCGACGTACTCATCAGATACCCACTAAGATACATTGGTGTAAGGTTGATTTAAAAGAAACTATAATGATATTAATTTTTTTTAATGATTTATTCTCTAGAGTGTCAATAATCAGCCAGCTGAATATTATTTGTCCATAACTAATCATTTCCTTGGGATCGATTACTGTGGCAAAAAGCCTCGCTGCAGCAGCCATGGAGTAAGATGTGCAATGCACTACAAATCTACATGTACACATACTTGTGTTCATGTACATGCAGGGCTATTGCTGCTGGGCTACAAGAGACGAGAAGCTTTCAAGAGCCTGGGAATACAAGAGAGGAGTAGGAAGTAAAGTTGGTCACTATCATTCTCATAGATACTCACAAGCAATTTGCATCACTTATGACTCACTCAAGTAGGAATAATATCAATAATAATGAGAGACAGTTCATTTTTACAGTTACAATGTATTTGAAGTCCTCCAGCCATATATCACTTATACAATTAATGTAACAGTCCAAGAGTTGGACTACAAGAGAGAAATATTTGGAAGAGGAGGAGGGACAGAAGACGTATGGAGGACGATTGGGTATGCTGAGATAGGGCCCGACCGTATTGGGCAGAATACGAACCAGAATCAAGTTGGAAAATCGTCAGGAACCAATGCAAGTTTTTTTGTTGTTGTGTTGTTGTTGTTAATGTTGTTGTTGTTGTTTTATGTTGTTTTTTTCTATTATAGATCAAGGCAGTGTGGTTGGGCGATTTCAAATTGAATAGCTACATTGCAAATTTTAATAGTAAATATATCTTAACACCGGACTGGAGGGCAGCTAGTAATCCTCAGACTCTTAGAGAACACGCTCAAGTTCGAGTAAGAATTACATGTACATGTACTGTAAGTCTGTAACTCATTAGTGTTTTCCTGTACATGTACATGTACATGCATGAATTATAATTACTAATATTTTAGAATGGTGCTAGTGAATGGCTAGTTGTTGATAGACATTTGGTTGATATGAGTGGACGCACATGTAACAAGATTGGGACTAGAGCACCGGCATTCATAGCACAAACTAACAGATGCTTTCAAGAACAAAACTCGTTAGTTTAGAGAGAGAGAGAGAGAGAGGAGATACAAGGAGAGAAAAGTGCACTAATAATAAAAATTATTTTACAGCTGTTTTAAAGTGACTCCAAGTATTATTTATGCTGAAGCTAAAGTGAGTTATTGTCACTTTTATTTCTTTTTAAGTTAATTTCTATTCATCTGTCACTCTGGGCATTCTTTTATATATAAGGCATATAAGAACAGAGATGTCCCAACGCATTACTTTCCGCCATTCTACGGGGATTTTCTAGGTCCCTACTCATCAGATGAAGAGAGACTCAGTGACGACACTGGACTACGTGATTTCCAATTGGTCTATCGCTCAACTGACATTCATAAGAGCCTCATCACACTAACATTTACTGCTGAAGCTATTTCATTTGTTGAGAACAGGTAAAAGAAGACACTTGTTTGACTTCAGATATTGATTATGCATGTACATATGTGTATGTCATTTAAGTATACAATGTCAGGTATTGCAATATAGGGTTTTCCTCATGCAGATTCTTGTTAGTGGATTTTCAAGTTGGGCCAAAGACCCTGTTCAGGCAATAGGCGTAGGAATGATTCAAAAGTTGAGGGGGCTCAACATTAAAAAGGATGACTTAGCATGTGAACATTGGGGGAGCTAAGCCCCTTTCGCTGAAAAGTTGGGGGAGCTTCAGCCCCCCAGCCCCCCCATTCCTACGCCTATGTCAGGGTATTTTGACAAATTATCACAAGGAGAGAATTCTCCATTTTTTATGTTCTTTTGATACATTATACATGTCCTTAAGTTGTGTATCAACTTTGAGCTGATTCCAATCGAATTTGGATTTTTTATGAATTTTCAAAGTTAGCAGCTCCAAATGCTACTTGTCAGCTCATGAAGCTCATGCTGTTTACATGTTCATGCTTTGTGGGAAACCCTGGGTCAATAATAATGTGTTAATTTTAGGAGTACTGGCCGTATAGTTGAGGCTCTAGTCAATGATTTTGTTGCATTAATTGAGAGTGGAATATTAACTGTTGTGATACAAAACACTGGAGCAGTCACCGCTGATTATTCAGTTAGTGAGACATTATTATTAGTCCTTTAGGTGTTATTTTGTATGTACATGTACATGTACATGTACATACATGTACACCCATCATAGTTACTGTATAAGCATGTCAGTACATGTGAACTTAAACAGCTTATAAAATGTATTGTTAATTTTAACTGGTAGGTATCAATAAATCAATGTACTGATGGTATAATAAGAGTATCTGAGAGGATAAAGACTGTAGATCCAAGGCAGCAGGTCACTTTTGAATTTGAGTTGTCCTCTTCTCTCAACGTTGCCTTTAATCATTCCTGCATAAGTAAGTTGGTGGTATAATACTGTAAAATAATAATGTATTTTCATGATACATGTACATGTACAATGTATAATTATCATCATTATTTTCCTAGTTGAGTTAACGGATAAAGATGGAAGTCTTCTTGATGTGAGGGATATAAAGTTTCGTACTGATGAAGGCTGCATATACTGTCCTGCAGGAGTTTGTTCATGTGATGTAAGCTATTACACGTGTACATGTATTATTACATGTACATGTACACCCATTTATCCTCTTTAGTGTGAAATTGCTCCTACCAGCACTGAAACCGAATCAACTGATGATTGCTCAAATGAACAATACTTGAACCCATACTGGACTCCAGAGATTATTGTCATAGAGCCGTGCTATCACTGCTGGTTCACTGACCCCCTCACTCATCCAGTCTATGCTACCTTTATTGCTGTTGTCCTTCTCCTTTGTCTTGGTATGGGTAAGCTGCTGATTACCAATTGGCTCTGCAGGACTAAAGATGGCAGACCCATTGATGTTGTGGGAATCATGCTTGGAACTGCTAGCATAGAGCACACAAGGAGGTATGAGTGCATTATATTTGTGTTAGCTCAGTGCATTTATAGCTTTGTAATGCATTGGGCGATGAGTTAAACTCGTGTTAATAATGCGTTGTTATTTTCAGGAAGCAAAGGAGTGTCACTATACAGTTTTTATTGGGCGCTTGTTTCTTTGTGTACCTTCCACTCCTTCCGCTCATGATAATCTTCTGTAACTGGAGGAGGCGACTTATTGCAAAGAAGAGACTGAAAAAGAAAGCGGATAGAAAGAGGAAGCGTCTATTAAAAGTCAGTTCAAAAAGAAGAGGACTAAAAATATTGATATTACATGTACAATACTTGCACTTTATCTTTAGAGAAAGCAAGCAGCGTTAGAGGCTACTAAAGGTTTGATGGTCCTTGGAGAAAATGATAACATTACAATGACTGATGCTATGAAAGCAATGGAGAAACTAGGAAAAGGTCCAGCAAAACTTGGTAAAGATTGATTGCTAAGCACATAAGAGAGAGAGAATGGGTGAAATGTACATAAAGTGTGCAATGATCTAGGTACAAAGTGCATGTAGCTTAAATTACTTTCACAGTAGCACAACACATACACATGTACATTTATGTATTCAATTAAACTGCACAGTGTCTAGACTACTGCACAGTGTCTAGACTACTACACAGTTCTATTCATACCTGTACTTCTGACATAATTACATTTTGTGTTATTGCTTTTTTTATATTTCTCAGTTGTCTCATCATCAAGTGATTCTGAAAAGGAATACTTTGAATACTCTTCGTCCTCAGACGTAATGACTTTGATGCATTTGATATATCCATGCACATGCACATGTACATGCACATGCACATGTACATGTACATGTACAGGCTTAATGCATTAAATGTGTACTATGTGTTTATTCATAGGAAAGTAGTGAAGAATTCATAGTTTATGAAGAAGACAGAAAATGAAAATCACAGGATGCGCATGTAGAAATAATAATAATGAACATACATGTGACTAAAAATGTCTATGCAAGTCAGAATAATTTTATGTAAAGACTTAATTTCACATTTCATGGCAATGTCTTCAGTGACATGTAGATCTATACTGGTTGGATAGCATGCCTCAAAGTTAACATTATTTAATTGTGCTACATAACAAATTCACTTGCAGACTATAAAATTCTAATGCTATTATTCGCTTTTCTAAGGCATTCAGTCACCATCTTTAAGTTTGTGGCAGTATCAGTTTCAGTGTCTCCATAAGAAGCATGCAGTATATATAAGAAGAGTCCCATGCTGGCACTGCATTGCATTGAATTGCTGTGTCAACTATACAGTCATGAAAATCATTGTTTTCACTTCTTATGCCAGTGACACCAGGTGCATGAATGTGTACAATTAAATTAATGCTTTTACTGTATGTACATGTACATGTACATACATATAGTACTTACATGTACATGTGCATATACTGTATGTATTCAATTCAACTTCACAAAGTACAGTGTGTCTACACTAGTTCTTTGAACTACTATATACAGCTCTATTCAAAGCTCAGTCATCTCTATGGACCTACTTAAATTCATATTAACTTAAAAGTTTTTCATTGTACTTGTACATGTAGCTGTTTCACAGCTTCAAGTGCTAGAATTCATTGTTCATGAGTGTTGTCAGTAATAACTCTTCTATGCAGCTCTATTGATCATTCTCTATAGTTTTGAGTGTGCCAACAATTTTTATCTTCCAACTGTTCCTTCAGGAGCTTCAGTATAAAAGTCCTTTGCACTAAACTGCTGCATCTTCATTTTCTTTGTGATAATAATCATACTGAGAGACCATATAGCTACAGTGATGAAGATTATTGTTTTGTTTCTTATCCTTGGTGCCTATGCCATGGCAGTTCAATCAGGTACTGTATAAATGCATTTGAAGCTTTTACTAATTCTGTTTTACACGCATGCATAGGGCCACTCTCTCTTGATATGGCTTGTGACAGGGCTTTCTCTGCTGTACTTTGCACCTTTGAGTTCACCAACAATGGAAGAGAGGACTTGTATCTGCTAACATACAACACTCCTCTTGAAGGACCATACTCTCCATTTATAACTCTCTCTCTTAACGGTAAATCTCTTCAATATGAAGGTATTTTTGCTTCTCGCACTCCTCCTACAAGGGAAGGATTTGCTCTCATAAAGGCGAGACAGAGTGTTTCTGCATCTATTCAAATCACAGAAGTCTTCTCCATTCACAGGGATGGTCACTACACTGTGAGATATGCTCAACCATTGCAATATCTTTCAGCAAATGAGATGAGACAGCAGTATTACTTTGATGATGTTATAGAAGTCAGCCAGTCCATTCTTCCTTCTCAATCTGTCGACCTTTATTTGGATAAGACAAAGTCTCTAGATAAACCAACAAAACAAGATGAGCAAACAGCTGGGAAAGAAGTTATCACAATTAAAGCATGTCGTACCACTGTTTCTGTAGGATCTGATGCCTCAATTGTTGAAGCCCACAAGAAGCTATGCTCTCATGTTCATAAAGTTAAAGATGCTGTTGATAAAAAGAACAAGACACTGTACCAGGAATGGTTTGAGGCTAGGCCTACCCATGGGCCTGACCATGGACGTAAAAATAAAGTAAAAGATGTATTCCAAAAGGTCGATACTGGAATTCACACTAAATCAGTTAAGTATGTCATCAATGGTGTTTATTGTCAACCCAACTGGGGAGCTTATACCTATAAAGGTAGTACCACCACTTACATTTGTCCTGGTCTCTCCAATTTTCCCACCCTGTGCAGTGATGATACAAAGTATAACAAGGAAGGAGTTCTACTTCACGAGTGGAGTCATGCTTTTGGCCATACTTCTGATCATGCCTATGGTCCAAGGGAAAGCAGGAAACTAGCAAAGAATTATCCTGATAAAGCAGTTGATAATGCTGATAATTACATGTATTATTACTGCCTCTCCATTCATTAGGATGTGCTGCACTGCAAGAGATTAGAAAATCCAGGAACATTAATTATTAGCTATATCATGCAACACTAGTGACTATAGGCTAGTTAAAATGCACATTTTCTCCTATTTTTCAAATAAACTTATATCTTCCTGGCAAAAAATAATACTATTGCATGCATACCTTGCTGTAGATATTGAGTTATGCATTGTGTGTATGAGCTCTTAAAAATTAATGGTAAAAATATGAAAGAGAATTATGTAATGTAGCATAAAGTACATGTGCATGTATAAGGCACCAATGTTCAAGGTCAAACTCAATAGCTGTTTAGTGCTAAATTATAGAAGACGAAAACAGTGTCCACCCACACATTCACATTAAAACGCACACCCACACACATTCATCCATGCTCATGTACATGTACACGTACATGTACATGTACACGTACATGTACATGTACAGGTTTAATGCATTAAATGTGCATCTTGTGTTTCATAGGAAAGTAGTGAAGAATTCATAGTTTTTGAAGAAGACAGAAAATGAAGTCACAGGATGCAAGCAGGAATGATAATAATGAACATGCACATGACTAAAGATGTCAGAATAATTGTAATTAAATTGATTTTTATGTAAAAACTTAATTTCACTGGTTGTAAATAGCACAGAAGTTATACCTGAGTTGTTATGCATGTACATTAAATTGTGCTACGTAATAGACCTTCATTATGCAGATCCATCATCCATGATTTTATCTGGAAATACGAATCAAATTGCTATGCTTTCATTTCTATCAGACTATATAAACTATACAGTGATGAAAAAATTACTGTTTTTTTTTCTTCTTTGATCTTGCCTATGCTGTGCCAGTCACATCAGGTGCACAATGAAATTAATGCCTTTTGCTACATGTACATGTGAAATACATGTATTCCATTCAATTTCACAATGTACCATGTCTAGAACACTTTAAACAAATTACTACAGCTCTATTCATAATTCAAGCATCTCTATGGACCTACTTAAATGTTTCATTCATACTAGTACATGTAGCTGTACATTCACACTAATTTATAGTGCTAGAAAATTTATTGTGTTGCCAGTAATAATTCAATAACTCTTCTATGCAGCCCTATTCATCATTCTCTATAGTTCTGAACGTGTCAACAATCTTTATCTTCCAACTGTTCCTTCAGGAGCTTCAGTATAAAAGTCCTTTGCACTAAACTGCTGCACCTTCATTTTTTGTGATGATAATTAAACTGATGGACCATATACAGTGATGAAGATTATTGTTTTGTTTCTTCTTCTTGTTGCCTATGCCATGGCAGTTCAATCAGGTACATTATAAATGCATTTGAAACTTTTACTAATTCTGTTTTACACGCATGCATAGGGCCACTCTCTCTTGATATGGCTTGTGACAGGGCTTTCTCTGCTGTACTTTGTACCTTTGAGTTCACCAACAATGGAAGAGAGGACTTGTATCTGCTAACATACAACACTCCTCTTGAAGGACCATACTCTCCATTTATAACTCTCTCTCTTAAGGGTAAACCTCTTCAATATGAAGGTGTCTTTGCTTCTCGCACTCCTCCTACAAGGGAAGGATTTGCTCTCATAAAGGCGAGACAGAGTGTTTCTGCATCTATTCAAATCACAGAAATCTTCTCCATTAATAGGGATGGTCACTACACTGTGAGATATGCTCAACCGTTACAATATCTTTCAGCAAATGAGATGAGACAGCAGTCTTACTTTGATGATGTTATAGAAGCCAGTCAATCCGTTCTTCCTACTCAATCTGTCAACCTTTATTTGGATAAGACAAGGTCTCTGGATAAACCAATGAAACAAGATGAACAAACAGCCAGGAAAGAAGTTATCACAATTACAGCATGTCGTACCACTGTCTCTGTAGGATCTGATGCCTCAATTGTTGAGGCCCACAAGAAGCTATGCTCTCATGTTCATAAAGTGGAAGATGCTGTTGACAAGAAGAACAAGACATTGTATAGGGAATGGTTTGAGGCTAGGCCTACCCATGGGCCTGACCATGGGCCTGACCATGGGCCTGATCATAAGCCTGACCATGGGCCTGACCATAAGCCTGACCATGGGCCAGACCATGGACCTGACCATGGGCCCGACCATGGCCCCGACCATGGGCCTGACCATGGACCTGACCATAAGCCCGACCATGGGCCCGACCATAAGCCCGACCATGGGCCCGACCATGGGCCTGACCATAAGCCTGACCATGGGCCTGACCATAAGCCCGATCATGGGCCCGACCATGAGCCCAACCATGGGCCTCACCATGGGCCTCACCATGGGCCTAACCATGGGCCTAACCATGGACGTAAAAATAAGGTAAAAGATGTATTCCGAAAGGTCAATACTGGAATTCGCACTAAATCGGTTAAGTATGTCATCAATGGTGTTAATTGTCAACCCAACTGGGGAGCCTATACCTATAAAGGTAGTACCACCACTTACATTTGTCCTGGTCTCTCCAATTTTCCCACCCTGTGCAGTGATGATACAAAGTATAACAAGGAAGGAGTTCTACTTCACGAGTGGAGTCATGCTTTTGGCCATACTTCTGATCATGCCTATGGTCCAAGGGAAAGCAGGAAACTAGCAAAGAATTATCCTGATAAAGCAGTTGATAATGCTGATAATTACATGTATTATTACTGCCTTTCCATTCATTAGGATGTGCTGCACTGCAAGAGATTAGAAAATTTAGGACATTAATTATTAGCTATATCATGCAACACTAGTGACTATAGGCTAGTTAAAATGCACATTTTCTCCTATTTTTCAAATAAACTTATATCTTCCTGGCAAAAAATAATTATACTATTGCATGCATACCTTGCTGTAGATATTGAGTTATGCATTGTGTGTGAGCTCTTAAAATGGCAAAAATATGAAAGGGAATTATGTAATGTAGCATAAAGTACATGTGCATGTATAAGGCACCAATGTTCAAGGTCAAACTCAATAGAAGACGAAAACAGTGTCCACCCACACATTCACATTAAAGCGTACACCCACGCACAATAAGTGGGTGTGGTGAGGTCACTGAGGTGTAGCCTCATTAACATGGAGGATGAGAGTGCTGTAGTGCTCCATTATTCTCAATTACTTGAAGATTCTCGCTCAGTTTCCTGTCAACTGGAAGCTCTCAGACGTCAACAATAGACACATCTATCAGAATTGGGTCAGAAAATCCAGAAATCGAAGAAGGAGAAGGTAGAACTAAGGACTATGATGCATCAGACGCTACTCTTTTGATTGAGGCCAGGGAAGGAGCACTAGCTGAATCTTTTAATCTATTAAGCACAGGAATACAAGACGCCAACGTAATAATAACCTTTTAATAATTATAATACAATAGAAATAGATTGTCTCTCTTAATATATGACTGATGCTATGAAAGCAATGGAGAAACTAGGAAAAGGTCCAGCAAAACTTAGTAAAGACTAAAGATTGATTGCTAAGCACATAAGAGGGAGAGAATGGGTGAAATGTACATACATGAATAGTGCAATGATCTAGGTACAGAGTGCATGTAGCTTAAATTACTTTCACAGTAGCACAACACATACACATGGTACATTTATGTATTCAATTAAACTGCACAGTGTCTAGACTACTACACAGTTTTATTCATACCTGTACTTCTGACATAATTACATTTTGTGTTATTGCTTTTTTTATATTTCTCAGTTGTCTCATCATCAAGTGATTCTGAAAAGGAATACTTTGAATACTCTTCGTCCTCAGACGTAATGACTTTGATGCATTTGATATATCCATGCACATGCACATGTACATGCACATGCACATGTACATGTACATGTACAGGCTTAATGCATTAAATGTGTACTATGTGTTTATTCATAGGAAAGTAGTGAAGAATTCATAGTTTATGAAGAAGACAGAAAATGAAAATCACAGGATGCATGTAGAAATAATAATAATGAACATACATGGGACTCAAAATGTCTATGCAAGTCAGAATAATTTTATGTAAAGACTTAATTTCACATTTCATGGCAATGTCTCCAGTGACATGTAGATCTATACTGGTTCAATAGCATGCCTCAAAATTATCATTTAATTGTGCTACATAACGGACCCGTGATACAAATTCACTTGCAGACTATAAAATTCTAATGCTATTATTTGCTGTTCTAAGGCATTCAGTCACCATCTTTAAGTTTGTGGCAGTACTTTATAGCGGGTTTTTTCAAGGATAATAAATTTTGCGAATGGCCCGTATCTGGAAGTTTATGGAATTAATTTTTGCGAATTTCCACTAATCTGCCATCTTGTACTGTATTAAATTGATTTTAAGGAATTTTAATTTTGCGAATCATGAAAAAATTCATGAAATTTGCAAAATTTGTTATCCTCAAATATTTCCTGCTATAGGGTATCAGTTTTAGTGTCTCAATAAGAAGCATGCAGTATATATAAGAAGAGTCCCACTGCTGACACTGCATTGCATTGAATTGCTGTGTCAACTATACAGTCATGAAAATCATTGGTTTTCACTTCTTATGCCAGTGACACCATGTGCATGAATGTGTAAAATTAAATTAATGCTTTTACTGTATGTACATGTACATGTACTTGCATAATAGTACTTACATGTACATGTGCATATACTGTATGTATTCAATTCAACTTCACAAAGTACAGTGTGTCTACACTAGTTTTTTGAACTACTATATACAGCTCTATTCAAAGCTCAGTCATCTCTATGGACCTACTTAAATTTGTAATAGCTTAAAAGTTCTTTTATTGTACTTGTACATGTAGCTTTTTCACAGCTTCAAGTGCTAGAATTTGCATGAGTGTTGTCAGTAATAACACTTCTATGCAGCCCTATTCATCATTCTCTATAGTTTTGAGTGTGTCAACAATCTTTATCTTTCAACTGCATGTTCCTTCAGGAGCTTCAGTATAAAATTCCTTTGCACTAAACTGCTGCATCTTCATTTTCTTTGTGATAATAATTATACTGAGAGACCATATACAGTGATGAAGATTATTGTTTTGTTTCTTCTCCTTGGTGCCTATACCATGGCAGTTCAATCAGGTACCGTATAAATACATTTGAAACTTTTACTAATTCTGTTTTACACACATGCATAGGGCCACTCTCTCTTGATATGGCTTGTGACAGGGCTTTCTCTGCTGTACTTTGCACCTTTGAGTTCACCAACAATGGAAGAGAGGACTTGTATCTGCTAACATACAACACTCCTCTTGAAGGACCATACTCTCCATTTATAACTGTCTCTCTTAAGGGTAGACCTCTTCAATATGAAGGTATCTTTGCTTCTCGCACTCCTCCTACAAGGAAAGGATTTGCTCTCATAAAGGCGAGACAGAGTGTTTCTGCATCTATTCAAATCTCAGAAATCTTCTCCATTCACAGGGATGGTCACTACACTGTGAGATATGCTCAACCATTGCAATATCTTTCAGCAAATGAGATGAGACAGCAGTATTACTTTAATGATGTTATAGAAGCCAGTCAATCAGTTATTCCTTCTCAATCTGTCGACCTTTATTTGGATAAGACAAGGTCTCTGGATAAACCAATGAAACAAGATGAGCAAACAGCTGGGAAAGAAG